TGTTTACTTAACAGCCACTTAGCACTCAATTTGTAGCAGGCACTGTTTTAAGTACTTTCCAAATATTAGTACTCCCTTGCAAGGTAGGCATTGCTGTTTACTTACCCACGAGGAAACTGAGGCACAGTCGGAGTTAAGTAACTTGCCCAAGGTTGCACAGCCAGTAAGTGGTGGAATTGAACTGAAATTGAACTCTGGGAGTTGGGCTCTGGATAAGAGCTAATATTTCCCAAGTGCCAGGCATATACTTTCATGTGCTGTGCATCCCCACTTTGCGGATGAAGTACAGTACAGAGGGGTCGCACAAAATGGCAGAGCCAGACATGACCCAGACAGTCCCTCTGCCGGACCCCGATGCTCACTCATGCCACCAGTTTTGCCTCCAGAGTCGGGAGGAGCTGAAGTCCCACAGAACGATTTTTAAAATTTTGTTAATATCTATTGTTTCTCCAGTGAGAGGCTACCTAAGTTTTCAAGGGAAGAGATTTAAACTCCTCTTTTGTGAAGCAGTGTTGAGAACACATCCCAGTAGTTGTTGCTCCCTTCCATCCACATTTTCCCAGAGAGTTTTGTGATTATCTCCTTCCCAGTGCTCCTGGCTGACCTGTGTCTGGAGGCCACCTGCTAGGCTTTCACTGCACCGGGTAAACCATCAGCAATTAAATGACCTTGTTCCGGAATGATGCCTGCTTTTATTGGTGGTGTTCCAGTAGCCCAATGATCTAATCCCCCAACCTTTTAATCTGCCTTCCCCTCCCTCTTCCCCTGTTTTTTAATTGGAACTACTGGCTCCAGGCAGTGAGAATGAAAATAAATGAGCTGTGACTGAATTGAATTGCACACCCCAGTTCCCCAATTGCAATTTAATAACAAACGTTCAGCGGCCATGTGCTTACCTCAGTCTTTATTGGAATGGCAAACTCCCTCTCCAGTTGAGGTGGTCTTGGAATGAAAATGTAGCCATTAGCATAATAAACTTCTTTCTCCTAGCAGGGCTGGTCCTAGGTGGCTCTGTGATTCTTACACAGGGCCATGGAAGAAATGCTTGGAAAATTGTTATACCCTAGAGATTTTAAAACAAGTTATCCCTAACCCCACCACCATTTGCCGTTAAGAGTTTGCTGCTGAAATCATTTAAGATGCTGGCACTGCCTGGGGTTTAGGAAGTCGTGCTATACCTGATGCCTTTGGGTCAGGCTGTCTTAAGAATGCCTCTCTGCATGGTCATAGTCACAGTCCCCAGTGTGGGTGCCATCCCTGCGTGGGAAGTCTGGGTACCGGCAGCGTTCACCCTCCTGAACAGCACCTGGGCTTCCCACCAAGCACTCTCTCTACGGCACAGGTCACATTGCTAGAGGACATTGCAGAGTGGTAAATACCAGAAGGAGAGGGCTTTCCTTTTCTTCACACCCCCGTGTCACAGGAATTCACTTAGTGAGAATTTGAGGGCAGGTGGGCAAAAGAAACCGTGGAGTTGTACCTATTTATATTACATAAACAACATTTATAACAGTAAAGGAAATACAATTGTTCCCCATATTCCCTCAACCAAACATATCTACTTTATCATCTATTTCCTTCCAGTCTTTGTCTAATTGTATAAATATTTTTGCCAGCAGTAATCAGAGTGTAGGTAGCATTTTTGTTATGGTCTTTCACTTAACATTTCATAACATGTTTTTCCATGCTCCTACATGGTTTTATAATTATACTTTTAATGACTACATTATAATGTTTCATTACATTGTTGAATATTTAAATTATTTTCAGTACTCTTACAAAAAAATTTTGCATTTACATGTTTATGTCTGTTTTTATTCTTCTTCTGACTGTATTACCATAAGAAATCATATGAAATTATTAGGTCAAAGAGTATGAATATTTTTATGGCTTTTGTTACATTAAATCATTTTCTTTACTAAAAGCGTAATAGCCATTTATACTGCTACCAGTAATACATAAACAGGCCTATTTTATATCATGGTCTTGATCGTAATAGCAGTCATATCTTTTTTAATTTAATGATAACAAAGTGATTCCTTGGTTTTCATTTATACTTCTTTGATTGCTCTGGAAATGAAACTTTTCCCATATTTATTTGTGTTGCTTCTTATGAAAATTGTCTGTTAGTATTCTGTGCATATTTGTGGGAGAATTGGCATTTTTCTTACAGATTGATATGAATAATTAATACCTCCTCAGGGCCACCCAAATTAATGCTTTAAGTTTAAACGTAATGAAAAAAAATCTGCAAACATAAATTTAATATGTACTACATAAACGCATGTCAAATAAAAATACAGCATTGTATAGTGCTTATTATCTGCCAGGCACAATTCTAAGCATTTTACCCAGCTTTGTGGAATGTGTACTACTTTATTCCCATTTTATAGATGGAGAAATGGAGGGCAAAAGAGGTTAAGAAACTTGTCCACACCAAACCTGGCAGGTAATCCAGGATTCAGAGCCTGGCAGTCTGCCCCTCGCCTCTGGGCCGCGATCCCTTCAGTGTGGTCTCTTGCTAGTTAAGGGTGGGAATCCGGAAAAGAGGGCAGCAGAAAGCGATGGCCTAGGGATTGAATCAGATACACACACCCAGACCCATGGACTCAGGAGTTGCTGGAGACAGTGTGTTGCAGCCTCTTGCTCCTCTGAACCAATTGCTCACTAATTGAAAATGAATTGAGAAGTGAGCAAATGTAAGAAATAAATTTTTATGTAGTAAGATATATACCCTGTTGCTCTAAGAATTGTTACTAAGGATTTTTTGAAGGTGTATTTGCATTTCTCCAACTGTATCCCACTAGGGGCTCCCTTTATCATTCATGTCTAGTGATACTTATTCTTCTGCCATTTCTGCTGTCAGTTTGTGCTGTTGAAAACCACCCGCTGCTTATGATTTGGCAGATTTTGACCAAATGGTTCTTAGACCATAGATACCTATTTTATTTGTTTTAGGTAGATTTAATGGAGTTTATTTTAGGGTGCGTCCAACATATTATATGCTGAGTGAGTTTTCACATTTGGGGTGCCACAGGTGTGAGAGCATTAAATCATTTGCTCTGTTGGATAAGGAAATAAAAAGGGAGGAACAGATAGGCAGGGTGCTTTCATTAGTAGGGCTTTATTGATTTAAAACTTTTAATTTAAAAAAGTTGAATTCTGCCCAGAAACAATAATGTAAGAAAATTTATGGAGGACTATTTACTCCACTGCTCCCTCCCTACCCCTACCACGCCTAGCTGTCTTCCAGGTGTGAGATACGTCCTTATGTGGAAATGTGGCCTGACAAAATTGTAATCACAAACAAACAAGCAAAAATCCTTGTGCCCTAATTCATTTTCCACAGGTACCGTGTATATTAGTGACTTTCAGTTGTAACCTGAATGAGTTGTAGTGCACTTACACTTTTTGAATTTAGCCTTTTGATGTTTTGTTTTTTTTTCTGTATGGCAAGAATAACCCATCTCAGCATTGTCAGTCTGTGGTTGCAGTTTAGGGTGGCAAATTTTGGTGAACTCTCTGAATTGGTGCCATCTTCAATATGTTCCTAAGGAAAATACAGAATTGTAATACCCTGGTGGACAGTTGTCCTTCAGTTAAGAAGAGAGGACTAGATGAGTGTGGAGAAGGGAACAAAGTAGCTGCACTTAGGTTGCCTAAAAGAAGTTCTTTAACTCTTAGCAACTTGAACAAGCTACTACTGAAAGTCAGTGTTTAATCTACGAATTGTAGGTGGCACCCTGCCTGCCTTGAGGAATCCAAGCTCTGGAGACAAGAAGTGACTAGGTTCATTTTCCTGTTGAGTTTATTTCAGAATTCTAAGAAATCAGTTCATGTTGTTCAGTTCAACAGTTCAGCCATCACAGAGAGTAGGCTGGTTATTTGTTGTCAAAGATAGCTTCATTCATAAAGTTGGCTCTTTGCAGAGACAACAGCCAGGTGTCGAAAGGGGAGGGTGCAGCTTTTCTCAATGGGGTTTCCTGCGGTGGTTGTAGAACTTCCCAAAAGGAGTGATTAGGCAGCTCGCTGATGAGGCCAAGGCCACTGTGGACCTCCTAATTGCCACTGTTTGGAGCAGACCATGCCATGCTGGAGTAAGGCATGGATTGGGGTTCTGACTTGTGTCCTCAGCTGAGTGCTTTTTGCACTAACACAAACCACAGCTGTGTGTTGTGACTTGGAAAAGACCTATTAGTAACATAGCATGATAAGGGGATAAAATGGCCCCGGTCAGTTACATTTCACTGCTTTTAATGTAATTTACCAGATATATATATTTTATTTAACTTGAGCTTTCTAGCCTACCTGTCTTTGGGTTGTATCTCTATCCTCTTACTGTGCCACAAACACAGTAGGCTATTCTTGCCTCCATGCATCAGCAAATAGTAACTGCTCCATACTCTTCACTTGTCTGTCTCCTGCTCATCCTTCAGGTCTTAGTTTAGACATTGATTCTTTCAGGAAGTCTACCCATATCTTCCAAGTCTGAAGGCTATGCTTTTAGGTATATCCTCATAGCATCTTGAACTTTCCATCATAGCACTTAATACACTACAATATTGTACTTCCTGGTTGGTTGGTTTGGTTTTTGCCTTGTTTAGTCTGCACGTCTTCATTAGCACGTAAAATCCTTGAGACAGGAAATATGTTTGTCCTCTTCATAGTTGTATTCCAAAGATGTAGCAAAATACCTGGCATCCAATAAACATTTATTGAAGAACAAACTCATCAATGTGTACATACAAACCCTTATTCATTGCTGGAATCTGAATACTTGCTCTGGCTTGACTGCTTGGGTGTGATAGATTTTACTATTGAGTAAGTGGCCTTGCAATTGTGAAAGGCAAATCCTTGGAGAGACACTGCAGAAGGCTGTGTGAGGGTCCTGAATCACGTGACCCACTGAGATGCTGATTTCAGAGCCAGCGAGCTAGCTGGTCTTGGGAAAACTGATTAAGTTCTAAAGCACACTAATCATCTTCTCTTGCCTTCTCTAGCACTGGAAGACACAGCGCAGTGAGGAGTACGAAGCAGAAGGTAGGCACTGAGTTTGTGTCGGGGAAGGCAGGGCTGCCATTGACAGGGCGCTTTCCTAGCCTTCTTCCTGATAGCCTGGCATGCTGGAGACCTGCTAAGAAGTCACCTTAAGAACAACAATCCATTCCCAATTGATGGCTCACCGTTTTAAAATACTAACCTTTAACATCATGCAAGAAATGGAAACTAAGATGTAGGATTTCACTTATGGGTTAATTGCTCTCTTATATAGACTTTGAAATTCATCTGCAAACAGTCCTAAATTAAATAGTAACCTATTTGTTGACAAGCTGTCAATGTATTTAAGAAACATCCGAACGCATTGGCCAGCAGATGGCACTGTGGTTCAGCCGACAGAACCTGTCTCCCCTGGCAGGTTAACTGTACTTAAGTGCAATTGCAGTGTGTTCTCTAGGTCTCCAACCTGTAAAAATACAGCACTCATAGGCTTCAATAAATAACACTAAATGCTCTTCTCAGCCTTCCAAGATTCTTCCAGGCACAAAAAATTGTGCCAGTAATTATCTCATGTTTAACTAATGACTTTAAAGACTCTCTCTAATAGATAAGTGGAAAATTTAACTAGAAGTGAGAACTTTTAATAGAAGATAAATTTTGATTTTTAAATAAGTAATCTGATCCTAGAGTCTTCAAATAGAATTTATCCTTAATATATAGATAAATAATAATTTGCAACTTGAAACCTTTTGTTCTTCCAGGTTGGTTGTTTGCCAGTAAGAATATCCACATGTGTAAAGATTTGGGGACAAGCTAATGTTGAGATTTTTTAATGGTAGTTATCATGAAATTTTCTTCTCAGTAAAAGCAGTCCTAGTGCTTAGACTAGAAAGAACATGGAGATAATAAAAATAATGATGGTAGCTCCAGCTGAGGCAGGGTGTATAAAGCTCTCTGGAACGCCTTGCGACAGCCTTCTCTTCCGATGACACCAAAGCATAAGCCTGTGCCTGTTTTCTCTTGGAATAAAACAAGACTAGAGCCTTGGCACGACTGCAAGGGAGATAGTTCTCACACGGTATGACTGCCAGTGAACCGAAAAAGAAAAAAGTGCCTATTTGCTCTAGTTGCAGCCTGAGAACCGATGGTTCCATTTCATTTGAACTTCAGAATCAAATCAAAATGGAATCAACTTTCATAGTCTTTTTTAAAAATAGTTTTTACTTTCAAAAAGCACATTTTCTTTGAAAATAGGTTTCTCTCTTTGCAATCCCTTTGGAGAAAATACAATATATGCTTTTACTTCAGGCCAGCTAAGATTTTGGAACCCAGATGATTTGACTGCATCCCAAAGTGGGTCTTCCCCTCCCCAAGACTGGATCGAAGAGAAACTGCAGGAGATTTGTGAGGATTTGGGGATTTCCCGTGATGGTCACCTGAACCAAAAGAAGCTGGTCTCCATCTGTGAGCAGTATGGTTTGCAGAACGTCAATGGAGAGGTAAACCATGCATCGTATTTTTGTTCATGAATAATAATCATGGTAAAAGCTCAGCTGGCCACAGGCTTGAAGCAGCCATATTTTGGCTTCCTGCAATATGTTATAGAGACTACATTCTCTTCTTTTCCTGGGAAGTCGGCCACGAAGATTCTATCTTTGACAACCTCTTGGATTAAACTGTAGCCACTTGTGGGGAGTTGCATCTTTTGTGGTGGAGTTTTTAGAACCTTGGAAAAGAAGTAGCACAATGCTGGCTAATGTGGCTCAGTTGGTTGGAGCGTTGTCCATAAACCAGAAGGTTGCAGGTCCAGTTCCTGGTCAGGGTACATGCCTCTATCGTGGGTTTGGTCCCACTACTGCATGTGCAAGAGACAACAGATCATTGTTAGATCATTGTTTCCCTCTCACATTAATGTTTTTCCCCCTTTCTCCCTCCCTCTCTTCCCCTCTCTCTAAAATCAATAAGCATGTCCTTCAAAGAAAAAAAAGAAAAAAGTAGCACATTTATTTTCCTCTGATTGAGGATGAGTAAGGGATTACTTACTGAATACAGCTTTTACTTAGTGCTTTTCTCATCTAAAAAATCATGAAATACTGTAGTACTTTTTTTTCTTAATTCATCTTTTACTGTATTTTTTCATTACTATTTATCCCCCTTATACCTCCTTCCCCCCGACAATCACCACACTGTTGTCCATGCCCATGAATCCTTTTTCCTTTTTGCTCAGTCCCTCCACCCCCTAACTTCCCCTCCCCCCACCCCCAGAGCTGTCAGCCTGCTCTGGTACGTTGTATTACTAGCTCTGGGCCACAGAGGAGCTGAAAGTTCAAGATGATTTCATCAGAATACAATTTGGAATCCTAGAATTTTACAACTGAAAGCAGTTTTGGATTTAGTCACCCCTCATTTCGTAGATAGAGAGAGGTCACTGCTGCTTCTTGTGTCCCCATGAAGGGGGAACTAGAGTCCCTTGTTATGATTATAACTAGCACCCTGCTCTCCTGAAGCAAGGCCGTCTACAGGGCAGGGATGGCCCAGCTCTCACCCCAGATGCCAAGTATGGCCCAATGGCTATTTTATTTGGCCTGCCCACTGTTTAAAAATTGAACTTTTTTGCTGCACTTTTTACAAAAATATTTTATTTATTTATTTTTAGAGTGAGGGGAAGAGAGGGAGAAAGACAGGGAGAGAAACATTGATGTCAGAAAGAAACCTCAACCAGTTGCCTCTTGCACATGCCCCAACCTGGGATCAAACCTGTAACCTAGAGTGAATATGGAGGATGGGTACAGGGGTCATGCCATTTTTGGTCAAAAATTGTTGATTACTCAGTGTGGCATGGGCAGGTGCACTTGTAAATCAGCCATCATAAAATGGGCAAACGCATTGAAAGGGTCTTCAAAAAAAATTCACTGAAGTCAAATGGAGCCTCTCACATCACCAACCGGGGCACTAATTCAGATGGGTTCCTAGAACTCTCACCTAGCTGGGGGAAGCCTGTACTACGAGGGGCCCACCCTCCTGAAGAAAATTCTGGGTTTTTTAGGTGTCCCCCTCATGTGTGCCCTGACTGGGAATGCAACCGGCAACCTTTCACTATGCAGGATGGCACCCAACCAACTGAGCCACACCGGTTAGGGCTGCATTTTTATAAATCAGGAAATTTTTCTAAAAGTTGGGTTTGGCTCCATTTTGCTGGCAGTGGGAAGTGCCCGGTTCCTTTGGATACTGCTTTAAATAGCACTGCTTTCTGTGTGTCCGTCCTGCCCTGCCTCATTTGTTTATTCACCTCCCTAGCCTCTGTGGGCATTTGGGGTCGTGGTCCCTATTCTAGTGCACTGTTTTGCAACTTACACATTGGGAAACCAACCCTCCAAAGACCTGGCTGGTGTGTCACAGGGAGCAAGAATGTCATCAGGGTTCTGGATTCGGCTCCTGCCCAAGTTGCAGGGGGTGCCCCAGTTGACTTGTATTCTTTTCAGTCCAACCCTGCTCATCCACCCTTTTCTGAATCCACATCCTTTTTAGTCACCATTTGCCCAGGACGCGCTGTGAGTGCATCAGGTGACGGGCGTTTAGGCAATCTGGAAGCCACGCATTGATTTGGCCAGGGTCACAAACTCAAGCAGTGTGGAGCTAAGGTTAGAGCCAAAATACGCTTGTTAACTGCAGTCAGCCCAGCTGGATTTTGCTGTGACTTCTGGTTTGACAGCCCTGAAAGCCTTGCCCTCTAAAAAAGTATTCTTTTGGTTGATAAGAAGGAGACAGAAAAGCTAAGGAATCTTGGCAACCTCAGAACCTTGACCCAAATACCTTTCTGTTGTTTTCATCACACAATTCTCTATTAGGAACCGTTGCTTCTGCCAAAGATTTCCACTCTTTAGAAAGGTTTTCTTGTTTTAGAATCCTCTCCAGAGGAAGTGGTATATAAATAGGAATAGAAACAGATGTTTCCTATTGGATATGAATTGGAAAAAAGCATTTGAGGTTAAAGAAATGCCTCAAGCAATTACATGAAGAATAAAATCAACAATTCTGAGATGGCAGGAATCCTAGCTACAGTCCAGACTTATGAAATGAATATTTAAAATTGAGGATGTATTACAAAGAGGTCTTTGTTACAACGGACCCAATTAATTGTAGGCTCTGATGCAGTAAGAGTCAATCTGTTGTTTATTCTGGTAATTACTTAGCAACATGGGCATCACCTGAGAACTCGTTAGAAATCCAGACTCTGAAGCCCCACCCCCAGATTTAACTATATCAGAGTCCACATTTTTACAAGATCCTCAGGTAATTTCTGTTTTGTTCACTGGAGGCATGTTCCTGTTGAAGAACTTTAGCCTCCCTTCCCCTCCCCCAAATAAAGAGGAATCCAACTGCCAAGAGGAGAAAGAGGCCTTTGCCTTCCCTCACTGTTTTGTGTTTCAGTGATTCATCTGCTGTATTCCCCTTCCATTCATCTGTTGAGCTAGGAAACAGACCATCTCTGAGGCAAGCCCATAGAAGGGACAGGAGCCCAGTGTCCTCTTTCCCAAGTATATAGTGAGGTCTCCTTGATTACTTTCAGAGGTTGCAAAATGGCCAGGCAAAATTCCCTTCTCTTTACAATCTCTTATAACCCTTCTATTGCACACACACACAGTCCTTCTTATCCAATCTTCATTTCTCCTGTGCTAAAGCACTGAAACAAATAAAAACCCAAAACACACAGTATTGTGCCAAGCAACATTCTAAATCCCAAGTCATGGGTTTCAGATCCAAACTAAGATCATTGCAATCTGCCCCAGGCCAAATTCTCTGTGCTTAACATATCAATTTCAAAAATTGAGTATAAGTACAATATTATGTAGAGTCACCACAGTCTAATGGCTCAATGTCCACCTAATTTTTACTGTTATAACAGGAAGCTATATCTTCATATTTTTAAATAATTTTTTAATTTGTGAGAATAATGTATAGTAACATTAAAGATTACCTGCGCTATTAGTATGAGTAAAAAAGAAAACAGTTCATTGTTACTTGTGTAAAGATGGTGAAGGTGTTGAAATGGACTTTTGCTTAGTTTGAGTGAGGTGGAAGGGTATATTACTAGAAAGGAAAATAAATTCAGTGAAATTACATGAAGGGATGTGTTATATTTCTGGAATCCTAAAATCAACAGTGGTGCCATATTTTTTTTTTTTAAGCCAGAAGTATACTTTGGGCCTTGTGTTATTTTGAGTGAAATATTTAAAATACATGGTTACCCTCTTCTAGATGCTTGAGGAAGTCTTCCATAACCTTGATCCTGATGGTACAATGAGTGTAGAAGATTTTTTCTACGGCTTGTTCAAAAATGGAAAATCCCTTACACCATCGGCATCTACTCCATATAGGCAATTGAAAAGGCATCTTTCCATGCAGGTACAAAAGAATCGGGAAGTGGTTTCCTTATAAGTAGAAGCTAAGTCTGTTTGAATAATTTTTAATGACTTAATTCGTTGTCTGAAGGAAATACTAAGGAGAAAGAAGCAAAAAAAAAAAAGAAGAAGACAGAAAGGCTAAACCATTGGGAAGGAGAAGTTGCGTTTGAGAAATGACCATAAATTACAGAGTAGAAAGACCACTCATTATTCCCCTAATGTTAGATGAGGAAGAAACCTGGTGTTAAGTAGAGACACATTTCATCTGTTATCAAGGAACTCTGACCCAGAGCAGTTGTTGATGATAAGCTGTGCATTCTTGGCACACTTCGGAAAAGGAGATCAAAGGAGCTGCATGGCTTTTTTCCTAGCAGTGCCAGTTAGAGAAACATGCCTTCTGCCAGTGTTGGTCTTCATTAACATCTTGTTGAAATGCCTGGGCTTGCTGAAGTCTCTTTCTTCCTCCAGTCTTTTGATGAGAGTGGACGACGTACTACAACCCCATCGGCGATGACGAGCACCATCGGCTTTCGGGTCTTCTCTTGCCTGGATGATGGGATGGGATACGCAGCAGTGGAGAGAATACTGGACACCTGGCAGGAGGAGGGCATTGAGAACAGCCAGGAGATCCTGAAGGTGCGGTAGCAGAAGTGGGATAAAAATGACAAATCAGGAAAGGGTTGAAAAATTCTGGGGTTTTTTTTGAAACTGTGATTTTATTTGATTTGAATTCTCCTAATGGCACTTCTATTCACAAGACCTCAGGGATAAGAGGTAATTTTCCTACTTCCTTTAACCAGGAATCTGCTGCTAACAACTTTCCATGTTTTTAACCCCTAAATTATTGATAAGAGAAATGCTCTTAATTGATCTCTGGTTGGTAAAGATTAGAATTATTCCATTGTGTTTATTTAAAGTGCCAGATAACATTTTAAAAACAAAACAAAACAAAACATGTCAATAACCATACCATGGTTTTCTTAAAAAGAACTTAGTTATGTTCTGGACTGAGGATTGTTCATTAGCAGCCGCTAAAGAACTATAATCGTCCATCTTCTAGACTATAAATTTAGCTCTCTGGGTTTGTTAACCTTCACATTCTCTGCTTTCAGAGGATAGAACTAGTGATTGTCCTGAACTTGTTCTGATTTCTAGGCCTTGGATTTCAACCTTGATGGAAACGTTAACTTGACAGAATTAACACTGGCTCTTGAAAATGAACTTTTGGTTACCAAGAACGGCATTCACCAGGCAGCTCTGGCCAGCTTTAAAGCAGAAATCCGTCATTTGCTGTAAGTTGGGTGGAAGGTTTACCTGCTTTTGTTTATTCCCTTTTCTACTTGTCCAGCAAGTCATCCTGATGCCTGTGGCATAGATTCTTTTATTCTATACGCAAATATGGCTAATCTCCTGTAATCTCTCTACTGTGAAAAATAAGGTAGAGCTTAGATGTGCATATAGGTCTTCGAAGGGAACTGTGGAATGTCTTTGTTTTGAAAGGATTTTGGTTGTCTTGGTTTTGTGTTTGTATTGAAGCAAGCCAGATGAGAGCTTTTTGGGGTCTACTTGTTGCTTAGAAACAGTTTCCCTTCAAGTTGGTTTATTTCTGATTCTAGGGAGCGTGTTGACCAAGTGGTCAGAGAAAAAGAGAAGCTGCGGTCAGATCTGGACAAAGCTGAGAAGCTCAAGTCTCTCATGGCCTCAGAGGTGGACGATCACCATGCAGCAATAGAGCGGCGGAATGAGTACAACCTCAGGTGCGACTGGTAGGGCCAGGTCCCTCCTTACCTGGCCCCCTGGCCCTGGGCAGTGGGGCTCAGCCTGCCTGCCTGCTTGGCTGCACCTGGCTGGAATGACTTGGGTGTGGCTAAGCCTGATAGAAAGCAGGACTCTCTTCAAGTTGCTTCCCATCTCTATGACTCTCTTTCCAGTTTTGGTGGATCTACATGGGGATTTCTGAGGGATTTGATGGCAGCTTGCCGGTCTCTCCTCCTCACAGGAAACTGGATGAAGAGTACAAGGAGCGGATAGCAGCCTTAAAGAATGAACTCCGAAAGGAGAGAGAGCAGATCATGCAACAGGTGGGCAAGCAGCGCTTGGAGCTTGAGCAGGAAATTGAGAAGGCAAAAACAGAAGAGAACTACATCCGGGACCGTCTTGCCCTCTCCTTAAAGGTAATCATCCTCTTAGTTCTGTGGTCTGGGTCCCACTGGGGAAGCCGCAGCTCTGTAAGCAGGCAGGCCTGCGCAGGGCTCAGCCAAGGACAACTGTAACTGTATCACGCTGTGCCACGACCCAGACATAGCAGAGCCCCGCCCTCCTCGGAATCTAGATTTCAGGGGTATCCAGACTTCTGGTTTGCCAACAGTGTTGATTAGCGTATCTTGTTCCTCTTTCCCCCTGAAGCCTCACTGGGTCCTCAGGGCTGTTTGGCCAGGTGGATGCCCTCACCTTTCCCTGCCCTCCCCTCACCCCATAATGGGAGTAAATGGTCTTGTCTCCTGCCACACAGGGCCTATCATCTTTGCTTCCCTGCTTTCAAATGTGCCTTTTCCCTTATACATCCTCCTCTCTGTTCCCACTCCTCAAGAGAGGAAGTGATCCTTCTCTTTAATAAACTGGCACCAGATACTATGGTAGAGTGTAGTCTAGAGATAAGCGGGGAGAAGTGCGGTTCTAGACTCAGACCGCTACTTACTGGAAAACCTTGATCAAGTTACCCAAACCTGTTTCCTAATATGCAAAATGGGCTCCATTGTTATACCTGCCCTATAGCATTGATACGGGGATTGAGAGATGCTACACAGACAATGGCTAGGAGGTAATCAGTGCATATGGAATATTCACTATTGCTGAGGTTATGAAAGATTCCTGAGGTCCACACATCAAAAACTGAGCTAATTCTTGCTCCCTAACCATCAAATTATTTCCTCTCTCAAATTTTTTCCTTAATCTACATCATCACAATGTGCTCTAAGTGGCAGAGGCGAAACTTCTCAATCATGTTCACTTAGCAGTCTTTAAGCCTTGTTGATGCTCTGAAACGCTTCTCAGATTTATCCACTTCCTGTCCATGTCCACAGGCTCTGATAGGTTCAGAATTCATCACAATTTCTCAGTGGACTTAATGGGCAGCCTTTTTTCTATCTATCTGTCCTCCAGGTGGCCACCAGAGCTACCTTACTAAAGGACACTTACAATCACACTGTTACCCTTTGTAAGACTGCAGTGTGGTAGAACCAAAGGCTCCTAAAACGGGGCTTGTCATACCTTTCTAACCTCAGGAACCACCAGCAACTCCCCCCATCCCGGGGTCATGCCCCGAACCCCTTTGCACCAACCATCAGTTCTCTCAGCTTCTTAGTGGGCTTTTAGGCTCCTTCACTGCTTTCTCCAATACTGCAGGCCAGATTACTTTGTTTCCATTTCACTTACTTGTTCTTGCCAGGGAGATCGGCATTATTTGACTCACTCCCTACCTGGGGCTCTGCATTCCCTGATGTCAGTTACGAATCTGATTCCGCAGTCTCCAGAGCACCAGCACAGGCCTGATGCATCGAGACTGCTGCTCATTGTTTGACAACTAAATTTAGGCATACTTGGAAGGTTTGAGTTGTAGAATTGGCATTTTGGGGGAAAGTAGTATTTTTTAAATGCTTCAAGCACATTCTTTTTTACTCCATATTGCTGTGAGAGGGTGTGAACCAGAATGTATTAAAATATATTGGCTCTATATTCTTTTGGCAAAAATGTACTTTGAAAATATTGCTCTTCCAATCAGCCTTTCACATTGGCATAGAAAATAGGTCAATGGCATGTCTGTGTGATACTATTTTTTTTAGCAAATGTGGGTGGAAATCTCTCTAACAAGTATTATGTAGAGAGGGAAAAAAAACCCATTCTTTGTGGACTTCAACTTTAAATCAAAATAGTAAATTAAATATAAACCAAACTATAACATCACTGAATAAAAATTGATTTCAGAGTTATTCTACTTTTTATAGTTTTTCTGATTTCTTTTTTGCTGTTAGTGGAACCAGTTTTCTTTCATTTGACAATGTGTTGAGAATGTTTTTTGTGTCATTAAGTTTTATACTGTAATGCTGTCCAGTCGAAAGATAATATAAGCCATGTGTGTAATTTCAGATTTTCAGATAGCCACATTAAAAGGTAAAAAGAAACAGGTAAAATCAACTTTAAATATTTTATTTAATCTAGTATTTCCAAACACTGTCATTTTGATGTACTCAATGTACAGAAATTATTACTGAGCTGTTTTATATTTTTGTATTAACTCTTAGAAATCTGGTATTTTACACGTACAACACGTCTCAGTTTGTACTATACACATCTCAAGTGCTCAGCATCCACATGCAGCCGCTCGCAGCTGCATATTGGACAGCACAGTTCTGTGAGATCAAAAAAAAAAGAGGGACAGACTTCTAGATTGTAAGATAAATATCCATTTTTAATATTTACTTTTGTCTAATCTGAAACATAAAATAAACCGATTTTCAATCGAGAGCACTGATTTATGCCCCAAATAAAATGGTACAACAGTTGGCTTATTTTTTAATGTGTGCCTACCTAATTTCCCCAAATTTCTCCAGGAAAACAGTCGTCTAGAAAATGAGCTTCTGGAAAATGCAGAGAAGTTGGCAGAATATGAGAATCTGACAAAAAAACTTCAACGAAATTTGGAAAATGTGTTAGCAGAAAAGGTAAATCTGTTTAAATGTGATTTCCTGGTATACAGCCCAAAGTGTAGTTTGCTCAAAAGAGCAGAGGCAATACTACCAGGAAATTTTATATTAGGGATTTACTTAGGTAGTTTTCAAAAGGAAGCGGTGTTTTTGCAGAGATATCATGTATGAGGCTGAATGTGAGGAAAACATTGCTTGGCACTGAGGAGTGATCGCTGTGTTATTTGAACATGCCTCTCTAGCATGTTCTTCCCATTCTAGCTGGTGGTGGTTCTGCTTAAATGTCACATTCCTTACATACTCGAGAGACTGGGTAAATACCAGAAACTGGGACTTCTGGTATGTTATAGGTCAAAGAAGGGCACTTGGGAAAAATGATGGCTTTCTCCTTTTCCTTTTCTAGTTTGGTGACCTCGATCCCAGCAGTGCCGAATTCTTTCTGCAAGAAGAAAGGTTGGCACAGATGAGAAATGAATATGAGCAGCAGTGCAGGGTGAGTGACTGAACAGAGCTTAGTAAGTGGAGGAGTGCCTGGGTTCAAATCCTGCTTCCCCGTTTACTAGCTCTCCGACTGCTTAATCTGTTGGTGCCTCAATTCCTCATCTATAATATGGTAAAAAATAATAATAATAGGGTTGTTCTGAAGAGTCAATGAGTGACTCAATGTAACATGCTTAGAACACAGCCTGGAACATAGTAAGCACTTAACCCAAATGTTAGCTATTAATATTATTTTTAGTATCCTGAAAAATTAGGGAATCATGAACACTGCAGTTAAGTCTCCTTTATCTAAGGCAGAAATTGTTACTGTTTACAGGAAACTATAGTTTTATTTTGAGGGGCGGAATATGTGGTCATGTTGATGTGCTTCTTCCAAAATTAGCCTTTCCTGATTGGTCATTACAGAACTAATCTGATGTAATTTGCTTTTGTCCTGTGGGTTTTTTTTTTTCCTGATTACATTCCTTACTTTTTTTACAAATGCAAATGAAACAGAAACCACTCAAATCTTTAGCTAGTAAATCATTACAAATTCCTGCCAGAAGAGACAAACAAAACAAAACAAAACTCCTCTGATATAATTAATAGAAATCTTGGATTTTAAAAAAACAGCAACACTCTCCTAAGCTTAGGTATTTGAAATTTTCCTTAAACCACAAACATTTGTTTATTCTAACGAGGTAAGCATAACTGAGTTCTGACTGCTTTAGATGAACACTGTACTTGTACAGAAATTAGGAAAACATCACCTCCTTTCGAGGTTGCTCATAGTCTGCCCTCTCAGGAAATACGTATGCACATCTTGAGTAAAGGAATGAAATGTTTATGCTGCTTTCTCATTAATTTTGGCTCTTGGCTCTAATCAAGTAGAAGTGTTTTCTTTATATGTCTTTAATTATGTCATCAGTAAAAATCTATCAGCTCTACCTCCAAAAATTTCCCAAATCCATCCACTTCTTTATTTTTTAATGATTTTCATAACTATGCAATTCACCTATCTGAGGAGTACAATGTCCTCTTTCTTAGTATATTCACAGAATTGTGCTGCCATTACCATAATCAATTTTAGAACATTTCATCACCCAAAAAGAAACTCCTGCTCCACTTTGCCCTGGGCTACTAATAATCTACTTTCTGTATCTATAGATTAGCCTATTGTTTATATTTGATACAAATGGGATTATACCATAGTATGATAGTTTATTTCTCCACATCCTTGTTAGTAGTTATTATTGTATTTCTTTTTTATTCTAGCCATTCTTTGCGGATATAAAGTAGTATCTCATTGTGATTTTGATTTGCATTTTCCTGGTGGCTAATGATGTTGAGTATCTTTTTATATGCTTCTTTGTATATCTTCTTCGGAGAAATGTCTGTTTTGATCCTTTGCCTAACATTTAAGTGGATCATTTGTCTTTTTATTATTGAGTTTTAATAGTTCTTTATATAGTCTAGTTATAAGTCTCTTGTCAGATATATAATTTACAGAAACTTTTCTCCCATTCTTTAGGTTGTTATTTTACTTTCTTCATGGTATCCTTTGAAGCACAAAAGTTTTTAATTTTGATGATGTTCTATTTCTCTATTCTTTCTTTTGTTGTTTGGTTTCACATCTAAGACTCATGTTGGATTTTAAACTCCAGGAATTACAAGACCAGGTGGATGAACTCCAGTCTGAGCTGGAAGAGTATCGTACACAAGGCAAAGTTCTCAGACTTCCCTTGAAGAACTCGCTGGCGGAAGAACTTGATGTTAACAGTGGTTGCCTTGAGCCTGACCAGGGTAAGTTATTCAGACACCACATCCTCAGAGTCTCTGCCTTGAACTCTTCTTTTTAGAACCACGGTTGAATGTAAAATTGACAAACTTTGGCAACAATAACAACAGAAAAAGACTTTAACAATACTATTTTCTTGAGCTATTTCACTTGTGGTCTGTGTTTTTGTTTGTTCTTGAAGTCTTTATGAGAATATTTCTATGTGATTTTGATATTTGCATAGAAATATCCTCATAAAAACAAAGAAGTGGAAAAATCAAACTACAGGGGTATTTGCTTATTTGCTGCATTTTTTGTTGTTTTTAAACTGGCCACAAGTCTGAGAATCCAAGCCTTTGGAGTGTTAAAATTCAGACACTGAACTATCGCTAAATCCTCCCTTTCTCATTGGTATGATAGCGGTTTTGGAAAGTGCACCAGCCAGAAACTACAGAATTTGGTTTTCTTATGCTGGTTGTGCCAATAAATGCCTGTATTGCCTGTGCCTTTGGAGAAGATTTTGAGCGGCAAGGTTGCAGGGAACCCTTTTTATTCTATTCATTATCAGCTCTTTTCCTCCCTCCTGGTCTCCTGCTTCTTTCTTCCAGTGTGTTTAGTTTGAATTTCAGAAAGGGCTCATAATAAATTATCCTGTTATAAATAGGTTTGCCCCACTGCTACTTGTTACAGGAGTACGGGTCCTTATAAGAGTCATTTATTCTCCTCACCCATTTATTCTAGAATAAATAAGGAATGGGGGAAGGGACAGAAAGAGGACTTAGGACCTTTCCTCTGATTCTAAGTCTATAGCTTTATTGTCGTGTAAGGATGGAGCCCAACTGTTGATATGATACATTTCAGAAGCTTTTCTGGACTTTTCCATAGATGACCATGGGGGATCTCCTCATGGGTGTGTGAAGCTGCACTATCTTGGGGTGGTTTACACCCCAAGTATGACTTGTCAGTTGGGCATATGCCAGGGCATATGCCATGACATATGAAGCAAAAAGCTCAAAGCAAGATCATCAATTCCAAATGCTAGATTTGTGCCCTGTTTCCCATCTCCCTGCATACCCTCCTGTAAAAAACACTTTTGACTACTCTGCCTTAAGAGATTTCTACATAGAATTAGTTCTAATCATTTTGTCTGTATATTAGCTCAGCCCCTAAGTCATCATCATGGGCAGTTGCAGAGCTGAACTCACATGATTGAATTGAGAAGTTTTCCCCCTGATTCCATATCTGTGTTCCCAGCCTATGCCTATTTGTTTTGTTGAATGAAAAATAATATTGACTAGGTATTTCATCATCAAAAAGGATTTTTTGAGAAAAAGAAAGGGTTGCAATTCAGTGTGTGGCCAGCCATATGCACACACTAGCCGGTGTGCCAAGATGGAGGGGTGTTTATATGAAGGAAAAGGGCAAATAACGGAAGAGGAAGTTGGAACCATAGAGCTTTATTATATAAACATAGAGTTCTCCCTGTAGGGTTCTCATGATTATATATAGTGTGAGGATTCCTCCCATGGACCCTCCCTCTTGATTATGTTCATTTTAAAGTCTCGGTCTTTATCAGTTCTTTTTCATTTTAGTTGATAATTTAAGATAGGGCTCCATCTACACTATAGGAAATTAATATTTTAATACTTAATCTCCTGTAATGTTGAATAGTGAGTTGGATATCTTGACCCATGAAATTAGCACCAAGGCATAGCAGCAAAGTATGCTGGTCATTAGTTCTCCTGCCACATTGCCACTAGCTAATTTTTTCTTTAATTATTATTGAATCTGTTTGGGTACATTGGTTAATAAAATTATATAGGTTTCAGGTGTGTAATTCCATAATCCATCATCTGTGTATTGTATTGTGTGTTCATCCTACCAAGTCAAGTCTCCTTTTATCACCACTTTTCCCCCCCTTTATCCTCTTCTACCCACCTCCCCCAAGCCCTTTTCTTCTGGTAATCACCAGCTTGTTGTCTGTGTCTATGAGGGGTTTTTTTTGTTTGGGGTTTTTGGGTTTTTTTCTGCTTAATCCCTGCGCCTTTTTTCACACAGACCCCTAAACTCCCTCCCCTCTGACAGCTGTCAGTCTGTTCTCTGAATCTATGAGTCTGTTTCTACTTTGTTAGTTTATTTTGATCATTAGATTCCACATATAAGTGAAATAATGGTATTTGTTTTTCTCTGACTGGCTTATTTCTAGCATAACACTTTCCAGGTCTATCCATGCTGTTGCAAAACGTAAGATTTCCTTATTTTCACAGCCAAGTAGTATTCCACTGTGTAAATGTACCACAGCTTTTTGATCCACTCATCTACTGATGGGCATTTGGACTGCTTCCAAATTTTAGCTATTGTAAATAATGCTGCAACGAACGTAGGGGTGCATGTGCTCTTTCAAATTAGTGTATTGGTTTACTTCGGTTATAATCCCACAAGTGATACTGCTTAGTCAAAAGGCAGTTCCATTTTTAACTTTTTGAGGAAGCTCCATACCGTTTTCCACAGTGGCTTCACCTGTCTGCATTCCCAGCAACAGTGAACTAGGGTCCCCTTTTCTCCACATCCTCACCAACACTTGTTTTTTGTTGATATATTGATGATAGACATTCTAACCAGTGTGAGGTGATATCTCATTGTGGTTTTAATTTGCATTTCTCTGATGATTAAGGACATTAAGCATCTTTTAATATATGTAGTGGCCATCTGTATGTCCTCTTTGGAGGCATCTATTAGGTCCTTTGCCCATTTTTTAATATGATTGCTTGTTATTTTGGGGTTGAGTTTAATAAATTCTTTATAAATTTGGGCTATTAACCCCTTCTCAGATATATCATTGGCGAATATGGTCTCCCATTCTGTGGATTGTCTTTTCATTTTGTTGGTGGTTTCCTTTGCTGTACAAATACTTTTAAATTTGAAGTAGTCCCATTTGTTTATTATTTTTCTTTTGTTTATCTTGTCCGAGGAGATATATCAGAAAAATGTTACTATGAGAAATATCTAAGGTTTTACTGCCAATGTTTTCTTCTAAGATGTTTATGTTTTGAGTCTTACATTTAAATCTTTAATCCATTGTGAGTTTATTCTTATGCATGGTATAAGAAGGTGGTCTAGTTTCTTTCTTTTTTTTTCTTTTGCGCGTATCTGTCCAATTTTCCCAATTCCATTTATTGAATAGACTACCATTACCCCATTGCAGGTCCTTGCCTCCTTTGTCAAATATTAATTGACCGTAAAGGTGTGGGTTTATTTCTTTGCTCTCTCTTCTGTTCCATTGGTCTATATGTCTGTTTTTATGCCAGTACCATGCTGTTTTGATTACTGTGGCCTTATAGTATAGTCATATATCAGGTAGTGTGATTTCTCCAATTTTGTTCTTCTTTCTCAAGATTTCTGTGGCTATTTGGGGTCTCTTGTGTTTTCACATAAATTTTTGGAATACTTATAGTTCTGTGACATACCCCACTAGTATCTTGGTAAGAATTGTGTCGAATTTATAGATTGCTTTGGGTAGTATGGAAATTTTAATTATGTTAATTCTTTCTATCCATAAGCACAGTATATGCTTCCACTTATTTGTATCTTCTTCAGTTTCTTTCTTCAGTGTTGTATAATTTTTTGAGTACAGGTTTTTTACATCCTTCGTTACATTTATTTCTAGGTATTTTATTCTTTTTGAAGCAATTGTGAATGGGATTGTTTTCTTAATTTCCTTTTCTGATAGTTTATTATTAGCATATAAAATGCAATGGAGTTCTGGACATTAATTTTGTATCCTGCTCCTTTACTGAATTCATTTATCAGTTCTAGTAATTTCTTGATGGAATGTTTCAGATTCTTTATGTACAGTATCATGTCATCTGCAAATAATGACAGTTTTACTTCTTCCTTTCTAATTTGGATGCCTTTTTTCTTTTTCTTGTCTGATTGCTATGGCTAGAACTTCAGTACTCTGTTGAATAAGAGTGGTAAAGTGGACATTACCTGTCTTATTCCTGATCTTAACAGAGATACTTTTAGTTTTTCCCATTGAGTATGATGTTGGCTGTGGTTTTAACATATATGGCCTTTATTATGTTGAGGTTTATTCCCTCTATATGCATTTTGCATATGTATATATATGCATATAGAGAGTTTTATTATAAATTAGATTTTATAAATGCTTTTACTGCATCTGTTGATATGATCATATGATTTTTATCCTTCATTTTGCTTATGTGGTATGTCACATTTATTGATTTGTAGATATTGTACCAACCTCACATTCCCGGAATAAATCCCACTTGATAATGGTGGGATTTTTTTAATGTATTGCTGGATCCAGTTTGCTTATATTTTGTTGAGGAGTTTAGCATCTATGTTCATCAGGGATATTGGCTTATAATTTTCTTTCTTCGTAGTGTCTTTATGTGGTTTTGGAATTAGAATAATGCTGGCCTCATAAAGTGAGGCCCTCTTGAATTTTTTGAAATAGTTTGAGAAGGACGAGCGTTAGTTCTTCTTTGAATGTTTGGTAGAATTCATCTGTAAAACCATCCCATCTAGGACTTTTGTTTGTTGGGAGTTTTTTGATTACTGCTTTAATTTCACTAGTTATAGTCTGTCTATTCAGACTTTCAGATTCTTTCTGATTCAGTTTTGGGAGATTGTGTGTTCTAGGAATTTCTCTATTTTATTCAGATTGTCCAATCTGTTGGTATATAGTTTGTAATATTTTCTTACAATCTTTTGTATTTCTGTGGTGTCAGTTGTTACTTTACCTCCTTCATTTCTGATTTTATTTATTTGGGTCCTTTCTCTTTTGCTCTTGATGAGTCTGGTTAAAGGTTTGTCCTTTTTTTTTTTTTTTTTTTTTTATCTTTTCAAAGAATCAGCTTTTGGTTTCATTGGTCTTTTGGATTTTTTTAAACTATTTTGTTTATTTCTACTCTAATCTATATTATTTCCTTTCTTCTTCTCTCTTTGGGCTTTGTTTCTTTTTCAAGTTCCTGTAAAGCTAGATGGTGTATTTGAGATTTTTCTTGTTTCTTGAGATAGGCTTATAATGCTAAGAATTTCCCTCTTAGGACTGCTTTCACTGTGTCCCATAGCTTTTGGATTGTTGTATCCTCATTTTCATTTGTTCAGAGTGTCTTTTTCTTTCTTCCTTGATCTTGTTGTTAACTCATTCATTGTTTAGTAACATGTTATTTAGCCAGCATGTCTTTGTGTGTGTTTCAGTTTTTCTTTGTGATTGATTTCTAGTTCCATACCATTATGATCAGAGAAGATGCTTGGTAGGATTTCAATCTTAAATTTATTGAGATTTATTTTGTGTCTTAACATGAGGTCTGTTGTAGGAAATATTCCATGTACACTTGAAAAGAATGAATATTCTGCTTTGGAGTGAAATGCTCTGAAGATATCAGTTAGATCCATCTGCCCTAGGGTGTCACTTAAGGCCACTTTTTCCTTGTTGATTTTCTGTCTGGAAGATCTATCCATTAAGGTAAATGGGGTGTTAAAATCCCCTACTATGATTGTGTTACTGTCAGTCTCTCCCTTTATGTCCATCAAGATTTGCTTTATATATTTACATGCTCCTATATTGGGTGCATAAATGTTTGTAAGGGTTATATCTTCTTGATGGACTACTCCCTTTATCATTATGTAGTGTCCTTCCTTGTCTCTTATGATAGCCTTTGTTTTAAAGTCTATATTGCTACCTCAGCTTTTTTTTGCATTTCTGTTTTCATGAAATATCTTTTTTCCATCCCTTTACTTTTAGTCTTTGTTTATCTTTTGTTCTGAGACTTATCTCTTGTGTACAGCATATATGGGTCTTGTTTTCGTATCCATTCAGCTACCCTGTGTCTTTTGATTGGAGCACTTAAACCATTTACATTTAAAGTGAATATTAATAGGTACATATTTATTGCCATTTTAATTTTTGTAACTGTGCTCCTCTCTCCTTCTCCTCTACCCTCCCCCTCCTCTTTCTTTTCCTCCTCCCTTTAATATTTCTTACAATACTGGTTTGGTGGTAATGAACTCCTTTAACTTTTTCTTCTCTAGAAAGCACTTTATTTCTCCTTCAATTTTAAATTATAGCCTTGGTGGGTAAAGTAGTCTATGTTGTAGGTCCTGGCATTTCATCACTTTGACTATTTCATGCCAGTCCTTTCTGGCCTGAAATGTTTCTGTTGAGAAATCAGCTGACAGTCTTATGTGAGCACCGTTGTAGGTAGCTAATTGTTTTTCTTTTGTTGCTCTCAAGATTCCCTCCTTGTATGGAGGGGTGTGCTCCACCCAAGAAAGATGGTATCTGCAGTGTGGGAGAAAGACTCAGTATAAGGATTCTGGTGGCTGTCCCATCAGCTCTCTAGAGCCACAAATCTTAGTCTCTGCACACAGCTCTGGTTCACTCTGCCCTCCCTCTGCCAGAGCTCAGGTTAAATGACTGTGAATGAGATTTTGTGCATTGGCCCTTTTAGAGGGTGCCAGTGTTTCTAACAGACTCCCATCTCCCATTTCCAGACAGACCCTTGCTGCTCTTTATAGCCAGATGTTATGTAGGAGCCTCTCGTGGCTCTGGTGCTCTGGGCTAGGGAGCCTCGCATGGGATTGAGAACCTGTGCTCCTCAGGAGTAACCTAAGCAGCTGAGATATCCCTCTGGAATCTCAGCCATAGCCTGTGGAAGTGGAGCCAGCCCTTTTCACATCTCTGTCCTTCCTACCAGTTGCCATGTGGCTTCCTCTGTAAAATCTTGGTTATAAGACTTTCATTCGGCTAGTCTTCAGTTGGTTATTCAGGTTGATTATTCTGTATTCCAGTTTTAATTCCACTTTGGTCCTGGGAGGAGATCTCCTCCACCACCATCTTGGATCTCTGCCCCTAGCTAATCTGTTACTCAGTATTTGTTGGATGGATAGAAGGCTGGTTGATTTGACCAAGCTACTTCAATCTACAGAATTTTCTTTAGGAGGCGATCATACTTAAGCAACAATTTCCACATCTACCCCCTACCTACTGTTCAAAAAAGGATTCTTTAAGGTTTGATGCACTAACTACATGACAGAATCTATTCACCTTCATTTTTTCCTTGTTTTCCCTAATGCTTGAAAACAGAAGAGACTTCTCTTCTGCTGTTTCCTAGTAGATCTCATCTGTGGTAATTTAGGCTGAAGTTATTCCATTATTAAATGGATGTCCCTCCTCAGATGCCTCTTGTATTATTGAAAGATGAGTGTCAACAGATCTCATATATTTTCAGGCCTTGGTTCTGAAGAATGTAATCCATTGAATATGAGCATTGAGGCAGAGCTGGTCATCGAACAGATGAAAGAACATCATCACAGGGACTTGTGTCACCTAAGGCTGGAGCTCGAAGATAAAGTAAGTCCTTCCTGTCAATCCTGTTCTCTAATTTTTTTTGAGTTTTAACAAGCTTTTGCATGTAGTACTTTCTCAATTCTTTGTTCTCACAGAGCAGCACTTTCTATACATTTTCTCTTGTCCTGGTGGCTACCAGGAACCCAGTTCCTCAGGATGGTTTCATAGGCCGGAGGTGAGGCCTTTTCCTCAGAGAGTTTCTCCAAAATGTAAGATCTTCACTTTCTAGCAAAAATAGAACTTGAAGGCCATTACATTATTTCCAACTTGTTAAAAAAATGTCTTGATAAAACAAAAAAGCACTTTACTATAATGTTACATCTTAAGTTAGGCACAAGTTCTATGTGTTGGCCTCCAATGCCCTTTCTTAACCACGTTGTTTCAACTTATTTTTCCATTTTTCCTTTTTATCATTCCTTTGAGTTACCTTATCCTCTGGTCAATCCAGGTAGTTTGCTGTTTTTCATCAGATGGTGCTCTTTTGCTCATGCTATAGTACATGCTATGTTATTCCGTTCTGTCTGTTGAAAATCTACTTAGTCTTCAGAGTTTATATCAAATATTACCTCTTGCATGAACCCATTCCTAAATTTTGTTTATCAAAGGTGATTTTTCCCTTTTGAATCCTCCATTACACTGTAGCTCCTTTTTCAGTACCTTAATATTTCTTTTTATTCTGCTTTGTAGCATACTTGTTTGTATTTGTCATAACCATGTATAGACTGGTTTCTCCTTGATGACAACGTCTTATCCAACTTTGTGTTCCCATGAGGCTTGCAGAGTACCTGATGTGTTCAATAAATACATGAATTTAATTATGTTAGGCCCCTAAGTTTGCAGTTAGAAATGATGCCTCAGAAGACAAATAGTATCTGTGTAGAAGTCTTGTCAGTTTTAATAGAGTTGTTCAGAAACTAATAAAATTTAACCAAGTTAAAATAAAAGAAAAACCAAGCCTAATTTAAATAGATCTTATTTAATGTGTTTTTGAATCATTACTTTAGAACAAAATTGCAAAACTGAGGAATGTCTTGTAGGAAAAAACAGTACTTCTGCCCCCTCACATTTCCATGGCCTTGAGTTGAATAACGTTGTGGCGGTTTTGCTTTCTACCTTTAGGTGCACCATTATGAAAAGCAGCTAGATGAAACCAAGGTGGCGTGTGAAAAGGAGCAGGAGAACATGAAGCAAAAGTATGAGAATGAAGTGCATATCTTGGAAAAACAAATAAGTGACCTTAAAAATGAAATCGCAGACCTTCAGGGCCAGGCAGTGGTGCTCCAGGAGGCTCAACATGTGACTAACTGCAGGCATGAGGAAGAGAAAAAACAACTGCAAATGAAGTGGGATGAGGAAAAGACTCTCCTGCAGGAGAAGCTGAGGCTGGAACATGAGGCGGAGCTCAAGGCCAGACTGCAGCAGGCGGAGGAAACCTTCCACCGAGAGAAGGAAGGACTTCTCCAAAACGGTGCCAGGACAGAAGAGAAGGTGAGGGGCTTGACTCAGGAACTAGAGCAGTTTCACCAGGAGCAGCTGAAAAGCCTGGTGGAGAAGCACACTCTAGAGAAAGAGGAGTTGCGCAAAGAGCTCTTGGAAAAACACCAAAGGGAACTTCAAGAGGGAAGGTAAGAAAATGGGAGAAGTGCCGCAACTTGGGTGCTGTCTGTCACAGGCACCAGAGGTTCCAGTCAGTTAAGGACACTTTGATGAATCAGAAGGTGTAATAGCTCCTTGATTCACTAGATTCTTTTCTAGTCTTTCAACCTGTTTTGCCATTGTTCAGACATAAATCTACCTTGGGGTTACTGAAACTTTTTCTTTTAAAAGAGGAAAGTATGCCTCATATCAGACTTGTATCTTTTAAGATCACAGATGAGGATAAGGTTATTGCAAATGTGACTCCTTCCTAGTTAAGCCTTGTTGTTTTCTGAGAAAGGGTATAAACTAGATTCTGGGCAAAGTAACATTTCCTCCCAGAGTTATGAAACACTACTTTTGTACTTACTAAGATGAAATCTCAGGTACACATGAGGACTTTGGCGCTTCATACTCTGATGACCTCAGTGCTACTTCGTTAAATAAGAGGCAAAAACATAATGAATTTAGTATGTGTGGTTTATAGGATTATTCTCCTCCAATGTATACTTAATTAAAAGGAAACATTTTTTAAAAATATTTCCCAAGTTAAGGGAATATATGCATTTGATCACTTACCATGAAATATCACTTTAAGTTTTTGGTTAAAAATCCAAAAACAAATACATCCAGGAGTATGCCAAAGAATTTTTTTTTCTAAATTTTCCTCCTAAATGCAGAGAGAAGTAAGTAATGAGTCTTTTCAATGAATTAATAGCTGCCGGTCTTGGCTCTCAGTAATGAGATCCCTTCTGAGTATAAAAGAATCACAGAGAGATAAGTGAAAACCATTTTTAGAAAGTATATAAATTATTTGCTTGGCAGCTTCTATGCATAGAAAATGGTTTTGTTTGTTTGTTTGCTTCCGTAGTTGATGGCAGTTTTAGTAATGCTGTATGTTGACCACATTTAGGGAAAAAATGGAAACTGAGTGTAATAGAAGAACCTGTCAGATAGAAGCCCAGTTTCAGGCTGATTGTCAGAAAGTCACTGAGAGATACGAAAAGGCTCTGCAAAGCCTGGAGAGGCACTACCATAAAGAGCTGAAGGAGCTCCTGGAACAACAGCATGAGGAGAGATCTCAGTGGGAGTTTGAGAAGGATGAGCTCGCCCAGGAGTGTGCTGAAGCCCAGGAGCAGCTGAAAGAGACTCTCCAAAGAGAGAAAGCAACTTCCCTGGCCTTGACCCAGGAGAGAGAGATGCTGGAGAAGACATACAAGGAACACTTAAATAGTATGGTTGTTGAGAGAGAGCAGCTACTCAAAGACCTGGAAGATCTAAGAAACGTGTCTGAAAGTCAGCAAAGCCTGCTGTCCAGCCAGATACATGAGCTGAAAAGCAGTCATGAAAGAGAACTGCAGGACCACGAGCAGGTCCTGTGCCAGGCAGGCGTCTCCGAGCAGCTAGCCAACCAGCAGCTTGAAAGGCTAGAAATGGAGCGTGACCAGGAGAGGCAGGAAATGATGTCCAAGCTTCTGGCCATGGAGAGTGCCCACAAAGCGACCTGTGAAAATGCAGAGCGAGACAGAGCCGAAATGAGTGCAGAAATCTCTCGGCTTCAGAATAAAATTAAGGAAATGCAGCAGGTGGCGTCTCCTCCCCCCAGGCTTCAGAGTGGCTGCCAGGAGATGGGAGGGGAGGAGGCAGAAGGAAGTGGAGCCATGTCCCTGCTCCAGCAGGGAGAGCAGCTGTTGGAAGAGAACGGAGATGTCCTTTTAAGCCTGCAGAGAGCTCACGAACAAGCAGTGAAGGAAAATGTGAAAATGGCCACTGAAATTTCTAGACTGCAGCAGAGGTTGCAAAAGTTAGAGCCGGGGTCAGTGATGTCGTCTTGTCTAGAGGAGCCAACTACTGGACTTTTTGGAAAGTCTGTGGAACAAACAGAGCCATTTTTACTGCAAAACCGAATGAAGCAAGTAGAAGGTGTAACCAGGCGGCACATCCTAAGCGACCTGCAAGACGATGAAGTCCAGGATGTGGGAAGTACAGGGACTAGCTCTGTTCAGAGACAGGAGGTCAAAATAGAGGAGTCTGAAGCATCCATAGAGAGTTTTTCCGAACTTGAAAACAGTGAGGAGACCAGGACTGAGACCTGGGACCTGAAGAATCAGATTTGTCAACTTCAGGAACAACTAATGATCTTACGTGCAGACTGCGATAGAGCTTCTGAAAAGAAACAGGACCTACTTTTTGATGTTTCTGTGCTAAAAAAGAAACTAAGTGTGCTTGAGAGAATCCCTGAGGCTTCTTCCAAGTATAAATTGTTATATGAAGATGCTAATAGAGAAAATGACTGTCTCCAGGAAGAGCTGAGAGTGTTGGAGACGCACTACGATGAAGCCCTAGAAAACAACAAAGAACTCACTTCAGAAGTTTTCAGGTTACAGGATGAGCTGAAGAAAGTGGAAGAAATGACTGAAACATTCCTTAGCCTGGAAAAGAGTTATGATGAGGTCAAAAGAGAAAACGAGGACCTGCATGTGGTGGTTTTAAGACTTCAAGGCAAGATTGAGAAGCTGCAAGAGGGAGCAGTGCCACAGTGTGACTGCTTCTCCTTATGGGAAGCCCATTTAAAGAACCTGGATGGCAACGCTGATGAAAATGTACTTCTACTAAATCAGACACTGGGAGAGTGTGTGCCAGAGGTTATGAACATACACCAAGTTATAGAAGAGCATTATCAAGAAAACCGGTACCTTGAGCAGGAGAATACACAGATTTTAGAAAAAGTAAAAGCACGTGAGATTGCCTGGCTGCGCAGGACAATCCGGACACACGGAGAAAAGGCTGGAGAACAGAACCAAGTCATACTAGAGGAAAACACTGCTCTTATAGGCCTTCAAGACAAACATTTTCAGCGTCAGGCCATGATAGCAGAGTTAGAACTGGAGAAACAAAAGCTGCAGGAGCTGACTAGAAAGTTGAGGGAGAAAGTCACTAATTTAATTAAGCAAAAAGATGTGTCTTCTCAAGGAGGAAAGGAGGAAGAGCTGAAGGCAATGATGCATGACTTGCAAAACACGTGCAGTGAGATGCAGCAAAAAGTTGAACTGCTGAGGTAATGTATGTACCTTCTACACCTCACAGAATCCCACAGAGCACCTCGCCAAATCTAACTGCTGCTGCTTGCTGTTCCTAGAGAAACTAACCTGTTAGTCTTCAAGAGGAGAGCAGTACTTTAGACTTCCTTCTGCTTCTGTGTCATATTAACAAATAGAATAACCTTGCCTAGGAGGCACTCCCTTCCTCTGTAGGAAATAAATGTCGTTCATTTGGGGTGTGAAAGTTCATAATGGAGAGTACTGTTTAACCATGAGCATCGTCAATGTATGTCAAGTCTTTAACACTTTTCTAGCACCATTCGGACAGATAGATCTCTGTTGTTGTTTTTAAATGTTCTTTCCCTCATTTTGATGAAAACACATTACATGAGACTGAATGCCTTTTGTATATTAATAACTCGCTTGGTAGATAACTCACTTCTTATACTAATATAGGATAAATGTGTTTTGTAGCTTATAGTTTTTCCTGCTTATACCATTTGAAGAACATATCATTTTATTGGGGAGCTATCAGAGTCTAAAAAATGTGCTTGAAAATAAAGACAGAAATGAAACTACTTGAACTATTGCTTATTTGACTTTATGAAATATGATTTCAGTAGTCTTCTTGCAAATTTGGTTTTAAAAAAACCTGTGAAACATTACATCGTGCCTGAAATATCTTAATGGCATGAAACAAAATAATTTAATTCTGGATGTAGCTTCTCCTCTTCTTCAGATGATTTTCATTTCTAAAAATCAGAATATAATGAAATGAAAAAAAATCACAAAGTAAACATTAGTGTGTATATTTCAGCATGGCCCTTTCATTCAGGTAGTGAATTTGTCTAGGTACCTTGGGGCCTGAAACTAAAGCTAAGACAACTTAGTAATATGGTTTATGTCAGTTTGAAGCAGGTAGGACTTGAGACTGAGAAAAAGGAAGTTATTTGCTCAAAGCAGTATGGTTGCCACAGAGAAAATCAGCAACCAGAGTGGGCATTGCCTCTCCTTCTGTCTCCGTATTCAAGCATTTTAGCCACACTTCCCGGATGCCTTTTCGTGAAATTCTTATTTCCCGTAAAAAAATGAGTCAATATGTCACAGCTTGATTTCTAAGAATTGGGAGACTACTAATTTAGACTTCTTGTTTTAACTGGCATGGAATACTTGTTTCATTGGAAATTACTAGAAAGAATTTTCCAAAGATGCCAGATGACTGCCTTGTTGTAACTACTTTTTTTTTTTTTAAATCTCTGTACTTCAGATATGAATCTGAGAAGCTTCAAGAGGAAAATTCTATTTTGAGAAATGAAATTACTACTCTAAATGAAGAAGATAGCATTTCTAACCTGCAATTGGAGAAATTAAATGGATCTCAGGAAGAAATGTGGTAAGACATATACTTAAATTTTCTTAAGGCATTTTTACAAGGACTAAAACTATTTTACCTCAGCTTTTAAAGTCTAACTCCTAAGTTATGTTTTCATTGTCCCGTTAGGCAATATATAGAAACTGTAAAACAGGAAAAAGCCACAGTTCAGAAGATGATTGAAAATTTAAAGAAACAGGTAAGGAGATGCTTAGTATTTCCCAGTGCTTCCTGAGTCTGAAATTTTCCTTTGTTTTTATTTGAAATCTACAAACTTATGGGCATGCTATTGAAATAACTCATGCAGCTAGTGATGGTAAGGTTTTAAAGCCCGAGTTTCAAAGCGCAAACTCACCTCCTGCTGACTCTAAACTAGGTTTTTGTTTTTTTGTGAATAGGTGAATTTTTGTGTCTAGAAACTAGGTTTCTAGTTCTGATTTTTTGTAGGTATAATAATGTATTATTATTTCTTGACTCCGAGTGCTTAGTATAAACTCTGTATCAGTGGGAATGGGTAGGCGATACCTGTAACACCAAACCTATGTAATACTGGCTCTATCGCTCCTATAATTTTGACTATTAGCTCCTTCCTATTTTCTCACCATGATTGAAAGAAAAAGTTAAGGACAAAATTTCACAGCTATAAAATACCAGTTAATCAGTATATCTTTTCACAGATCTTTATGGTTTATTCAGAAAACTTGTGCCATTCAATACCCAATTTGTATAATCTCACAACATGCAGTTGTGTAGGGGAAGGTCATTTACAAATCTGTCTGAAACAGTCAAAAGGCAAGGACGTTCTGGGGAAGAGTACTTGAAATAGACAAGGTGTTAACATCCAAAATGTATTTTGTACACACACAAACAAATGGCAAAACCCAGTTGGAAAATGAATAATTGATACGAATGGTCAAGTCACAGAAAAAAAGAATACAATAAACAAAAAGGTGGTTGGCCTCATTAGTGATTAGGGAAGTGCAGCTTAAATGAGTTTTCTTTTTTACCTGTCAAGATTAGCAAAAATCAAACAGTGATATCATCAAGTATAAAAGAGGTAATGAGGAAATGAAGGCACTCATACATTGTTGATAGGACTGTAAGCTGGTAGCACTCTGAGGAAGATAATTTGAGAATATCTACAAAAGAAGTAATGTGTGCGCATGCCTTCTAACCCACCAGCCCCTTTTTTAAAAAACATGATCCTAAATACAAAATGCTACCATGTGTAAATGAATGTCCTAAAAGATTGTTTTGTTTCTTCATGATAAAAATTCAACACATTATGCAATGTTTTGATCCATGGAATACCCGACAGCCTCTAAAAAATATAGCACTAAAAAATACAGCATGTGGTGGTTCCTGAATGTACTGACTTGAAAGATAAGAGTCTGTAAGATGTGATAAGTAGGAAAAAGAACAGGCTGTCCTAACATCTGAAATAATTCCAATCTTTGTTATAAAGAAGAAAAATATCTCTATGTGTGCATGGGTTTTGTATATGCATGGAAAACAACCTATGGAGGGATACATGTGTATCCAGCTGTGAATAGTGGTTACCCATGTGGAGTAGGGTCAGAATATCTGTCACTTCTTCGTACTCTCCTTGTTAACAGATTCAATTGACTGAATCTGTAACAAGTACTCTGTATTATTTCTGTTATTACGTGTGTGTGTGTGTGTGTGAAGCTTTATCTACAGAGTGAGGAAACAAAAGAGTTAGTCTCTAAATCTGCTTTTTAGCAGAAGTAGGGTAACTAGTTTTTAAAACTTATTTCGATTTTAATTAGATTTCAGAATTAGAAACCAAAAACCAACAGTTGGATTTGGAAAATACGGAACTTAGCCAAAAGAATTCTCAAAATCAGAAAGAACTGCAAGAACTTAATCAACGTCTGGCAGAAGTACTGTGCCAGAAGAAGGAGCCAGGACGCAGCACATTTGAGGAATGGGGAGAAGAAAAGTCTAATCTGAAAGAGGAACTGGAACACTGTGAAGTGCAGGTATGGTCTGCAGCCACCGCACAGCCTTTCTGGAGGAACTCCCAAGAAATAAAAGAAAGGCTGATGTTAAATTTCTTGTACTTAAAGTCTTAATAATTAAAAGAGTTTCGTACTGGCATACTAATAGACAGAGAGATAGATGTGTGTACACTGATGGAGTGCCCAGATGTTGGTTCCTAAACACCTTTCTCCGATAAAAGGAACCAGGGATCCTTGGGAAAATGATTGATTCCAGGGCTGCGACACAGAAAATTCAAGAAGAACGTGGAATATTTCACGGTACCAGGAAGAAAAAAGGGCTCAAAAAAGATTAGGAATGTTGGAAGGACACTGGACCCAACCTGTGGCCAAAGGTGGAACAATTTCATCAATAAAATAAATAATCATAGTATAACATAAAAGAAATATAGTAATAAATATAGGATATAGTAAATATCTTTAGGCCCATACCTATATAAAAAACTGAGTAAGTAGCTAAAGGGAGGAGAAACACTGTCTTCCTTACAGTAGAATTCCAATTAATAAATGTAGAAAGAAAGAAATAGAAAATTATTTAAGGCTAACATCAGAGTAATAATTTTTGTAGACAGAATCTACTAATAGACACCAAAATTAATAAGCAAAAGTTTAAGGACAAACACAGTTTACATGGCCTCAAAGTATGTCCCCCCAAGAGAAAGATAGTAACTTTACTATGGAGAACCTTGCAAAAACTACCCTAGAAATCATGTTCATGCCATTTAAGAGGAAAGTCTTTTAAAAGATATTTTTAGTTCCACTGAGTATATGGATGGATGAATGGTCATAAAACATTGTGTCATTGAACTTGGACTAGTATGTCCTTAATGCTGCCTTTGTGATCCTACTAAGTTTCCGCAGGCTAAATGAATGTGTATATTATTTCACTTTTTAATTTTTTTCCTAGTCCTCCACTTTAGTGTCTTCTCTGGAAGCAGAACTTTCTGAAGTTAAAATACAGGCTCATATTGTGGAACAGGAAAACCTCCTTCTCAAAGATGAACTGGAGAAAATGAAACAAGTAAGAGTGTGTGCTGCTTAGGAGGGGTCAGGGAGAAGGGGACTCATAGAACGATATGTACCTGATGGTCTTCTGGCTTTTCTAGCCACCAAATGTCCCTTTTACTGAATCATGTCAACTAGCATGTTGCTTTAGTAAAGTTGAGGACTTGCGATACAAGTCTATTTGTAAGGGTTACTGTTTTATAGCTCTAAATGTTGTTCTAGTTTATAACTTATATATGTTATAGACTGAAGTTCTATTGCTATAAATGAATCACAACCATTTCAGTTTAAGGAATTTGGTGTTCTACTTTCTCCAAACCAGATGGGAAAAAATACGCTTGTCTAAAAAGAAGGTAACTTTTTGGCTTATAACTTTAATTGCTATTCACCCAGATTCATGAAGACACAGGTGAAGCTGGTCCTTCTTATCCCTTTTTCTTACAGCAAGTATGAGGCATCTGTCTACTGCGTAGGGTAAATTCTAGAGTATTATCAAGGTTGCAGTCTCACGAATTTGTCTTTCAAAAGCCTATTTCAAAAGTTTCAAAGACTTAATTTTAAGGATAAAAGATGGTTCACCTTAATGTTGTGTCCTGGACATTGTCCTATTTTATTCTTTATTCTGAATTTTTCAATGAGTACAGGAGTCTTTCTGTTTGAGCAATTCTGATTTATAATAGGAGAATTTAGTTGTTCATTTTATTTAATTTGCTTCACTAAAGGATTACTTAAATAGTATAACATCTTTAGATGATAAAATTCTCTCTTGTGTCTGTTCAGCCTATTAGCACAAAAGTGCCTCTCCTTGAATGCTGAAATGTTGAGTCTCTGCCGCAAGGTGTTACATTTTCGTCCACCTCTGATTGACTCCTATCAGTCTTAATTTCCTAATAGGATTCTTAGACTCTCAGGGAATTTGTGTCTCGTAATGCCTAGTACAGTACTGGCTCCTAATGAGTGCTTTAATAGAACCATTTCAAGTCAGACGCTACTGTGCAAAGTCTGTCTCTTCTGCCATAACCAAAGCTGTCTGTCCATATAAACACTGCAGAAGTTAAAACTCACAGGGCCCTTCTCTGGGGGATAAGTGCTCCAAAGCTGTTATTACCAACTTCATCCTAATGAATTTGGGCATAGTTTCCTCCTTTACTTTTTGAAAATCTGCCTGTTGTTCAACCTTTAAGATGATAGTGATCGTTCCAAATCCATAGCACGGGAAACGTGTGCATTGTGACTTTGCTAAGCTAGGGATCAGAAGAAAAAGAGCAAAGAGCAGAGCACGATGAGGAAGGACATCATTTGGCATGTTTTTATTGCATTTTTTTTTTTTTTACAGCAGCATTGATGTAAATCGTGGCAATAAGTTGCTTCATGGCACTCTTTTGGATCACAAGAGTGGAATGATGTCAGCCCATTGTCACTGCCATACAGCTTCCACCTAGAAAGCATGTGTTGCTCTATATGGCAAAACGACTCCTCATTCACAAAGCTTTTTTTATTATCTGTTACACTGAAAGGAAATACGAATAGCATTAGCAGAAGTCACTTGCCAGTTTGTAGACACCTAAAATGACACCAGGCTTTGTGAGGGTCTGGGAATGGGGAGGCAAGGTAGTAGGCAAAGGAGAGAGGTTCTTCATGAAAACAATGCCCAGGTATTTTAAAATACATTTCCCTACATCCTTCTGACTTCTTTAGATTTGTAAGGTATGCTAGATTTGTTGCTAGTTGAAGACAAGATTCAACCTTTAAAGGCTACTTTGTCATACTAGTGCTAAGCGAAATGTAAAAGAACCTAAGGTTGGAAGTAGAAAGAGGGCCATAAAATCTTAATAAAGAATCGAGGATTTGAAAGCCAAGAGAAGTGGAGGGAAATTAGAAACATATGCACTACAGAAAAGAGTTAAAAAGAAGTGTAAGAAATAATTGGTCTCTTTAAAGCAGTGGTTGGGGAAAGGTGGGAGTTGTTCCCCTACCCTGGGACATCTAGCAATGTCTGGGGACATTTTTGGTTTTTATAACTGGCGTGTGGGGAAGGAGAGGGGTGCCATTAGAATCTAATTGGTAAAGCCAGACTTGCTGTTAACCACCCGACAGTGCTCAGGACAGAACCCACAGCAAAGAGTTACCTGGCCCCAAATGTCAATAGTGCTAAGGTTGATGCTAAAATGAAACAGAAAATGTCTTTGGTTTGTCCTGATTCCTTAAAGGGGAGAGGAGGAAGCCAGTGTGTTTATACCAGCAACATTTTACTCACCAAGTCAATCTTGGCATTTTCCAAAGGGAAAGGTACATGGAACAAGCTGGAAAACAGTTTTATCATTAAACTGGCCTTTGTGTTAACGCATTGTACTTGGTTCATACTAATTATATACTCTTGACTGAGATTTTTGAAGGAGATCTTTTGTTTAAGTTAAAAAAGCATGAGGAAAATGTATTGTGCTATTTGTACACAAGTTAAATTGACGACAGGATGTCATGTTATTTATTCTACCCCGAAAGTAAAACAGAAAGCTAGGACCATCACTTGTCAGTGTCTGCCTGGTTGAGTCTATCCGAACAGACAGTTGATTGGGGAATGGAGAGAAGCCTAGCAGGGAACATTGTGTTAAAGTTAGTTATAGTCCCCGAGAGTTCAGATGTCCACTGCAGTATCTAGCAGCAGGCAAGAAAGTGCCCTGCTTATACATACAGGCAGGAGACGTGATGGGAGGGCTCGTTAGCTTAACTCTTACAGCTGCACAGGTGTCCTGATCTCTCTGACTTCCAGCAAAAAATTTCTAGTGTTCTAAGCTACAATGAAAAACTGCAGAAAGAGAAGGAAGTTCTAAGCGAAGAATTAAATAGCTGTATTGATAAGTCAGTAAAGATAAGACGACTTTTTACCATGATCATATGTACCACAGTAAGCATTTCTCTATGCACATGGGCCTAATCGTTCCAGAGTCTCCTGGGGCAACATTTCAGCCGGCGTTATGTGGCCTCAGAGCTGAAGCCATGATTTTAACAGCAGTCTAAATTAGTTGTTTAATAACTATATTATTAAAGACGGTAATACGAAGTTTGTCTCATTTTAATATGTAGCCATGCTACTTAATAATAATATTTAAATCTATTACTATCTTCTTAAATGTAATATAAATATATCGTTGTATTTAACTTGAGATCTAGAACACAGATACTTTTTTTCTATTGTATTTTCCCTAGCAGATCCAAAACACTGCTTTTGCCCCCCCGGCCTTACTCGGCACTCTGTAGTTCCCTGTTATGGTACACTCTTGAGATTTCTGACTGCCTTCCAGTCCACTGTCTTTAACCGGCAAAATAGGAGGTGATGAGAAAGAAAAATGGGAATCCCCAAAGAAAAGAGACTGCTCAAAATTAAAGGTAGAAAAGGGAGTTAGTGAGGAGAACTTTTTTACTTTGCTCTGCTCCCCCATGTAAATAGATGGTATTTGATCTTTTTCAGTGTTAAGTGGAGGCACATAAATTGAGACTAGATGTGTTTGCAAAAATGCACCATTACCTCTTTTCTTTTCCCGAAACAGTTGGCAAAATCAAGTCTTTTAGAGCACAGAATTGCTACTATGAAGCAGGAACAGAAGTCTTGGGAACAGCAGAATGAAAGTTTAAAGTTGCAGCTAGTGGCTTCACAGGAGAAGGTATGCGGACAATTTTGTTTCATCTGCACAGTTAATATTTTCCTGTGTCTTCCAACAGAACCCACAGAAGAAAGAATGTTCCAGGCGGAAGTGGCCTCAATGGGCTCAGAATGATTCAATTTGTCTAACATTTGATACTTGCTTATAGTATAGTGAAATAACTAGAATATTTCCCTCAAAGTTCATTAGTATGAGATTATCTCATCATTATGAAATTACTTATTTGTGAAAGCTTGAGAATAGTGTGCAACAAAAACTGCTTGTTCCTAATTTAGAAATGGGATTTCTAAGGTAGGTTCATGCCCTATTATAAAGATCTGTATCAGTATTCCTTTCACCAATTTAATTTTTTAATTGAAATAATTGAGATATTAGCAGAGAGTAGGGTTCTACAAGTATATATTTTTATTTTCAACTAAGAGGTTCTTTACAAATCAACACCACAGGCTGAAACATGATTTCTGTAAAATTAGGTAAAACTCTATTTTGTGATGCCAGTTGGTACTCATTGGTTCTATAAGATACCACTCAGTAATATACCAGATGACTATATAAGCAATATATTGCTCTAGGCATAGTTCATCATTATCATAAATATGATTTAACATCTTGTAAATATACATAACATACTGAGTTTCTGCAGAGCTATGGTAAAGAGCCAGAGAAAATAAGTAGAAATAGAAGGGACCCAGGGGTTATCTTCTCCAAGCTCATTCATACCTGGATACACTATAGGTGAGACCCCAAGGATTTGGGTCACAGTGTAAGATTTTTCTCATCATGCAGGTTCAGAGTTTAGAGGACACCCTGCAGAATGTAAACCTGCAAATGTCCCGGATTAAATCCGACCTACGAGTGACTCAGCAGGAAAAGGAGGCTTTAAAACAAGAAGTGATGTCTTTACATAAGCAACTTCACAATGCTGGGGACAAGGTAATTTTCTTTTCTTATTGAGGTATAACTTTCTATAGTGAAGTGTACACATTTTAGGTATACATCTTGATTATTTATATACATGTATAGGTAAAATGTATTTCACCTATCTCCGCGTGTTTGTGTAAACACCATCTAGTTCAAAGTATAGAACTTTTCCAGCACCCAGCAGCCTCCCCTGCCCCCTCCAGTTGATATCCCCAAGGGAACCACTGTTCTACCCTCTGCACCCTAGAATAGGGACGCTTGTTTCTGAACTTCATATAAATAGAACCATAGTGACAAGGTAACTTTTTGTGTTGTGCAAGTCAGAAGACCATGACTAAGCTGTTTTATTATGTAAAACTAAAAAATTTTGATGTTCAAGAAAATGTGTCTCATTTTAATATCACAATGCTTTTTCATCTGTGCACAAATAAATTAAGAACAATGTTACGGATGTCATCACCCACGGGTAGATGTTGAGATTTTTGTCCTACTGTAAAAGTAGGCATTAATTCAGTTATTTTATCTCTTGGTGATACTTTTCAACTGTGATTTTAAAAAATAAAATAAAAGTTTCCATTTTTAAAAGTTACTTCTGAGCTGACATTTTTCTCAGAATGAGATAGTACCTTTTTTTCTTTTTCGTGTTTTGACTTAAAAGGCTTATCAAGTTGTGTTGCCTTTTTTATTTTTTAAAGCATTTTTAAGGATCCAAAAAGTCACTTCGGTAACTTAAAGTATATTTCTGTGTTCAGGCCTCAATTACATGGACAGTATGTGCTTTGGAATCTAAAAAAGGATATGATTGCATGTGTGAAAATGGAAGTAGAGTTGAGCTTGTGAAAGCTTTCAAGTTAGCGGTGCATTTCAGAGTTCCCCCGTGTCCTCTGTTAACCAGAAGGGCAGTTGTCTGGGCTCAAAGCCTGGCTTCATAAGAATGAGGCAGTTTTGAAGGCCACCAGTCACTATGTACTGTGTCCTGCATGGAAGTGGGACTTGCCACACGATCACCTGTGCCATTAGACTTGATGGGGCTCTTTTGCCAAAGACTGTTTTAAACAGAGAGTTTACAAAACTTTTTTTTTTAAATCAAACTCTAATAACATTGTTTTATTTATATCTGTATATATGTACACTTGCTCCCATTAGAAGACAAAGGTGAAGGTTGAAAGGTACTAAGAATTGATGTCATTAGGTAAATATGACACTCAAAAATAGAAATCAGTCTGTGTTTAAGGTTTAACTCTACAATTCTCTCTTAAGAACTGGGCCCCAGAAGTAGCCACCCATCCATCAGGATTCCATAGTCAGCAGCAACGGCTGTCTTGGGACAAATTGGATCATCTGAGGAATGAGGAACAACAGCTGCTTTGGCAAGAGAATGAGAGACTCCAAAGTGTGGTGCAAAACACCAAGGCGGAACTCTCGCACTCCCAGGAGAAGGTAACTGGAAATGTTGCACATGGTGGCCAATGTTTGAAAATGCTTAGTTTGATGTGAAGATAAATGTTTGATATGACTGAAATAGTTGTAGGGTATGGATTTGAGTGTTCTCTTATAGCATACTTATTTTAAGAATGTATAATTTATCATTTACTTTCATTAAAATTTATCCTGATATGTTTATACAACATTATTCATTTTTGTATAAGCAGTTCTATCAATACATTAAAATCTGTGATTTTAATCCCCATGTCCAAAATATAGACTCATGGAGGTTGTTAACCAGACCTCTTCAAATAGGCTAGCCACCGAGACGGGTAGTACAAAAATGGCAAAACAAGACCCAAATCTTGTGGTCTGAGTCCTTGTCAGAGAAAAGGTGTCCCTTTTCAAAGGTTGTTTCAAGGTTTAGAGATTAGAATGGTCTTTGAAGATCATGTCTTCCAACCACTAAGCTGATGTCTAAATTCTTCACCTCTAAGTAGTGAAACAACTATGTTTGACCTTTACTTAAGCACCTCTTTCAAGGAAGAACTCTCTGGAGAGCCACAGATTTTCATTTAGCACACCTACTGTGCGCCACACACTCTATCACTGAAGCTGCAGTGTCGATTCGAGTAAGACAGATGTGGTCACTGTCCTCGTGGAACTTAGTTGATGTAAATATATTGTTTCAGGTGCGAACAGTCCAATACAAAGTACTGTATAATAGACCGGACTGTCACCTCGTGTCAGAGCAGACGTGCCTAGGACTGTGTCTGCTTTCTTGACTTTCAGCAGTTTGCTAGAGCCACAAGTTCCCTCCTTCCCTGCCTGTCCTTTACAGCATTGGGTTTTTAGAGCCAATCAGACTAAAAATAGATTTACCTAGAAAGGATCTTTTTGAAATACAAAGAAAGTAGGCTTCAAAAATTAGTAGACTTGACTGACAAAAGTGTTTTTATTACGATAACACCCAAGTGGTGAATAAAAACCTCCCTTATGTTCATGGTTTGTTTTTCCTGGTTGGGTGACTATTAGCATTTCTTGCCTTTACATTTGTTCTTGTTAGGTCCGTCAACTGGAATCCAACCTTCTACACACCAAGCACCAAAAACATATAAACTCATCAGGTACTGTGAAGCCCACCGAGCAGGAGAAGTTGAGCTTAAAGAGAGAGTGTGAACAGTTTCAAAAGGAAAGATCCCCTACAAATAGAAAGGTGAATTAAGAGTTTATACCATGCATCTACTGTGTTCTGACTATGATGTGCCTCTAAGTGTGTATTTCTTCCCCTGCGTGCTTCCAAGGAAATGACCACAGGGCCATGTTTTTGTTTTTCTTTACGACTATGTTCTAGTAATCTCGTCAAAACAGTATAATTCTTTTTGATTGAGTGATGGTTGAAAGGTACGATTAACTTTAAGCTTTCATAAAGAAGACAGTTAATCATCTTTATTTAGTATTACAAAACCTTTATAAGTTAGTAAAGTATATATTAGGAACATCTTAAGGTCGGTATGATCTATGTCTGTGTAACAAATTAAAATAACAAACGAGGTGGTGGTCCTGGGGGGCCGTTGAGGAGGCTGGCTACCATGTGGTTAAACCCTTGCAGCACAGTTCAGTGCTTTGTTCCATGAAGCTAGAGTTCTAGGCCAGTGTTACTCTGGGAGTTCTTGTTATTACTTGTTTTTCTTTCTTTTTCTAAACTAAAACTCACAGTTTTCACTGTTTACTTCTGAAAGTTATGGTTTGCTTAAAAATCTGGCGAGAATTATGATCATTTATTTTGTTATGCAAATTTCATAAAGTTTTTTATTGTTTGTGAAAGTTATGATGACCATTGGCAGCAGAAGAATGAGTTTGCTCTAAAGCTGAAATGGCATTTAACTTTAGGTACATTCAAGTAAACTTTTCAAGAAGGACAGTGGGTTTCATCTAGCTACTCACTAAGGGAAAAATCTAATGATAGGCTTTAACATAACAATGAATTTAAATATACCTTGAGAGACTATACTCTGTTTCACAATTCTTGGTACTGTCTTCATCTCTTCTGGTAGAGGCAAAAATTAACATTCTAGAATATTGTCATATGTTTTCTATTTAGCATTATTCTAAATCCCAGTGTTCTCTAGCTCATTAGATTCTTCCTACAATAAAGAGAATTCTAAAACTGGATACTCATAAAATCTTCAAATTTCATCTTTAGAATTGAGAAAGGAGTTATAGAAATCAGGTTTTATGTATTCCAAGTTTTAAGTCTTTAAACTTTGCCTTAAAACAGTGAAATAAATAAAAAAAATTTTTTAAAGCCCTGGCTGGTGTGGCTCAGTGGATTGAGCACCAGCCCACAGACTGAAAGGTCTCCAGTTCGATGTCCAGTTGAGGGTGTATGAGAAGCAACCGATCAATGTATCTCTCCCACATCGATGTTTCTCTCCCTCCTTTTCTCCCTCCCTCCCCCTCTCTCTAAAAATAAATAAATAAAATTTTAAAGTGTTTTTTTTACACTGCGGATCCAAAGTGGAGAATCATAAAATTGATTTAGTGAAACATCAGCATTTTTATTAATAAAATATACCACAAAATATGAGTACATGGTAAGGATAAATGTTATTTCTGAAAGTTTTCTTTCAGTGATATGTACTTAAAATGAATACACATGTATAGGTAGCAAGTGGGAGTGGGTCTATTTCCTGGGTTGCAAGATAAAATGTATTTCATACAATGAGTGGCATTGAAGTTTGAAATCCAGGCCCCTTTAGGAATCTGCTCTACATGAAGAGTGATGATTACAACTAGATTTCTTAAATGTAATAAATGTACTGAATTATTCTGTTTGCTTTCCTTCAAGGAATGAACTCAGCTTTCTTTCAAGAGCTGAGGTTTTTGACTGGTGTAAACTTGTCAAAATAAACTAGAGCAACTCATATGGGGGTTTTGTTTTGCTTTGTTTAAAAAGGGGGTTTTTTTTGTTTGTTTTTTAACAGGTCAGTCAAATGAATTCCCTTGAACAAGAATTAGAAACAATTCATTTAGAAACTGAAGGCCTGAAAAAGAAACAAGTAAAACTGGATGAGCAGCTAATGGAGGTAAGCTTTTAAGCAAATGGCCTCAGCTATGAAGAATATTTTAATCCATGAATGAGCCATTTGTTGGGAGAGACTAGTATAGCACTGAATTCATATTATGAAAAAAAGTGAAAATCTAAGTACCCTGCCAAGCCAAATTCTTTGCTCTATCTTAGCAAGTTCGATGGACATTTTAGTTTAACACAGTCATAGGAATTCATACTGCTTCTCAGAGGAAGGAATAATGTTGTTTGTCCTAAAATGTAAGAAATGTCCAAGAGGCAGGGACTCTGTCCGAAACTAGCCAAAGGACCCATGGCTCTCTTGCCATTGCTATGGTTATAACAGTTTCCTGATACCTTCCATAGTAATAGTATTTTATAGATGTGGCTGCTCTCTAACAACCTCTTCAGTTAGGAAATCCATACAGGGCATTCGAAAACATTAGCATTTAGAAGTTTAACTTTCAAGTGTTGCCACTGTTTATTACGTTAGTACCCAGCATTGCCTTGTGAGAGGTACAGCTGTAAAATACAAAAATGGATTTGTAAAACTTGTCGGCCAGGACATTGGGTTTCAATCTACGAGATTGCTTCCTGAATACTGAAAACAATTCCAGGCTATGAAACAACTCATATGCGAGTCCTCCCTAGTAAGTTGTAATTTCATTGAGATACTTTGCTTTGGGTAGATGAAAATATTTATCCAATCTTTAGTGAACTATAAAATTTATATAAGGTAGGGAGGCATGAGTAGAAAATGTCTTTGTGTGTGTGTGTGTGTGTGCGCGCGCTGTTAAAAAGTACTATGTATACAATTATTTTTAAGCCAGAATTATCAGAAGGAAGAGAAATGTTTAAGTATGTTTATGAAGCTGGGAACATACAAAGGTAACTTTAAATAGATGCTTGGTTTTTAAATGTGAAACATGGGCAAACCTATCACATTGACACTGAAATGATCACTGAGGCTTCTGTCACTTATATCCTCTGATTTATCAACTAATAGGTTACTAAACTATAAAGAGCAAAACCCAAAGCATTTTCTTTCTCTGACAGCATGTAATAAATGTCATAGGAATTCATACTGCTTCAGAGGTTCAAAACCTTGAGCTGTGGACTGTGTTTACATATAGTTATGCTTTTCTGATGAAACAATTATATACCATAATGAGTAAGATATCTGAATCTAAGGCTGACTTGTCTACTACCACACTGAAAAGTAACAGGGTAACTTCATCACTACTGGATCCTCTCCAAACACTGCCTGCTCTCACTGGCCTTGGAAGCCCAACTGTACTGTACATGATTAGCCATCCTAAGCCATTTTTCCTCATTATTTTTCTTCCTTATCTAGTAGTAAATATTTACTAATGGATGAGGAAGTGTACTTGGCACTGGAGCTGAATAAAGAAAAGGCATGAATTTTCAATGGAAAGACTGAAAAAACATACACTGTTCTAACATAGCTTTCTTTAGGAAAATAAGACTGAGCTGTTACTCCATATAGACCTAAATAAATCGGATTCTTTAGTAGTTTTATTGAAGTATAATTCACATATGACAACTCACCTGTTTAAAGTGTACATTTCAGTGGTTTTTGGCATATTACATTTTTTAAAATTGTGATAAATATATGCATAAAATTTGCCATTTTAACCATTTCTGAGTATACAATTCAGTGGTGTCGATTACATTCACGATGTTCTACAACCATCGCCCCCTCCCTCCAAAACTTTTACCATCTGTACAGTTTATATACAGACAATGTAATTGTTGGTCCTTTATAAGGTCTTACTGGTTAAAGCACACATACTCAGGTATATAATACACTCAATCTGTACTCTTCTTTCTCTTTTTATAACTCATACTTTTCTTCTTTTTATAACTCCTGCAATTTTGTTTTTGTTTTGTCTGTGGCTAACCTGTACCTAGAACTCTGTGGTTGGAACTAGCAGAGAAGGGTGCAGTTCTCTGCCTGAGATAGTGTGTGAAGGTAGAACATGCTCTTTCAATGAATTTCCTAGCATGGAGACATCTCATTCAATTCCTTTGTACATGTAATCACTTCTACTGACTGTAACAGTTAATAAGTACTAAAGGAAAGAGCCAATATTCATTTTCATTTTGCTTTAACTGTGGAATATGTCTCTGTTTACATTTACATGAGGAATTTCCTCAGTATTTAAAAGTCAGTATTTGAAAAAGTGATGAAAACTATCGCCCTGATATATCATGGGATCATAACTCTCTCTATACTTTGTTTCTGAAAATAAAATGGTGGGTTTTCTGAACCTTTAACATATTTCAAAATCGGTAATGGCCCACCTCAGAAATTTAGATTGACAGAAATGGATAATGGCTCTGAAGTTTCATGATAGCATTTTGTTATAGTTTTGTCTTAGAGGACCTTTTCCCTTCTCACAAGCCTTGGGGTACTTCTGGAGTTTAGTGCTTGGTCATGTTTGTTGCATGCTTTCCACTGAGCCCTGTGTCTGCTGAATATGCCGACAGATGTGAATTGGCATGCTTCACCGGCCAAATGCAGTGCATTCTCCTCTCCTTTTTCCTCTCCCCAACTTTGATTGGCATGAGATGTGCATACCATTTCTTCATTGTCTTGAACACATACTTCTATTCCATGTACTTCAATTCCCAGATGTTCTGGGATACCACCTTATGCCCCAGAATTGCCTGTCTTATTGTGCTATTTAAGAATATAGTATTGATAAGCTATTAAAATAATTTTAGATGTGAGATTCTTTGAAAAAATATTGCTAACTTGAAAAATACATAGTCATTGAACATTCACTTTTAGGAATCTCTTGAATGGTAAGTGGCAAGCCCTAAAGCAAAACCACTTTCTCCCATTTGTCTACTCCGGCTCTGGTGTGGCTGTTTTTTAAAGAGGGATAATTAAATGTTCTAATGTAAGAAAAAAATAGAATTCAAGCATTATGTACATCATGTACCCCTTATACTCACTCAAGAGTGAGGAAGAACAGTTTTAAGTCTAAAACTTTTAAGAAGGCCTACTGATTGATTAATTAATTATAGTATCTCCTAAGCAAAATGATTCTTCCCATTTACTCCTTATTCAGACTCATGTGCTTCCCTGATTTGCAAGTTGGGAGGGCGGGGAGGGATCAGGCTTCATTACTCTGCTTAACACCTTCAAGAGCAGGTGTGTGTTTGAAGGCGCTGCAGCTGACCAGGGCTTTGCCCTTGTCCTCCAGATGCAGCACCTGAGGTCCACTGTGATGCTTAGCCCATCCCCCCACACCTGGGATCTGCAGCTGCTCCAGCAGCAAGCCTGTCCGATGGTGCCCAGGGAGCAGTTTCTGCAGCTTCAACACCAGCTCCTGCAGGCCGAAAGGGTAAACCAGCACCGGCGGGAGGAACCTGAAAACAGAACCTCGGAAACCAACACACCACAGGTACGAGGCTCTTTTTTCCCTTTAACAGAAACTCAAATCACCTATTTATTTTACTTGCTTATTTGAAGTTATACCAGTTGAAAGGTGGAAATAAAGAATGTAAATCTTCTGTCAGGACTGCAGTGCCTTTTTTCTTTTGTTTCTTGCAGTGCTGCTTTTGAGCTCTCAGCTTCTAAGCTGGGTAATTACATGTTCTGGGTCTCCTTTGCACATTCGTAATTGATGATAAAGTATCAGGATAACTTGCACATAGTGTACAGTCTTATCTGACGCCAAAAATATTACAGAATTCAAGTGCAATTCTAGGACATGCATTACTAACAAAGCTTCCTGGGTTTTCTTGTACCTGAGGGGTGCACAGCCTGCTTGAGTTCCGTGGAACTAACAACTAGGGACTTTTCACAACTAACAAAGTTGAATGTGTAGTCAGTGACTTTTCAGTTGGCACAGCTCACTTAGAGTGTTTCAAACTACATCATATAAAATATTATTTTTAAGATAATAAAGATGTCCTCCTCCCCTTTGTATTAGCATGATCCCAGCTGACTACCAGACACCTTATGTCACCTAGGTTTTCAAATAATTATTTCTCTTTAGTGCTACATTCATAATCATCCTTTTTTAGAAGTCTCTTAACTCTTTGGTCTTGTGTATTTAGTTTATTCAGAATTAGAAATAAAATTTAAAATACTCCTTAGTTTGCAGAATTATAAATTAATTCTTGCTGGTTTGGATGCTCTTCTGTTTTCAAATACTGTGCTTCTCTTTTGACATTTGATAAGGAATTTCCCAACTCTTTCTGTAATCCCCTCAAAGTGGCTTTGCAAAGTCATATTAACACTATAATTACACATTAGAGCAGTTCTCTTTTCCTCCCCTAATGTATATCTATGCTTTGTCATGATGTACTTCTGTCATATTCTTTCCAACAAAACCTTTAAAAACGTTTTTCTTGTGTGCTTTAACATCCATGTTTTTAAGACTTTCCCACATTCCACTGCCGTTTTCAAATATTAAAATTAAATTCTTGAATAAAAACTCTGGTGGGCTATTAGATGCTTCAGCTCTTCATTACGGAGTTGAATTATAAAACCTTGACTTCACTTTTTACTGGACATTTTAAACTAATGATTAAGCTAAGATTCTACTCATTGCTTTCCCATGCACCCTGTTATTAAAGCGTTCTCTTCCCAGCCCACCCACCAATGTTTAAAAATAAATATCCCATTATTCCAATCACTTAAGGACTAGGTAGGCAAAAATAGGTTAAGATTTTCATATTAAAACGAAAAGATTCCTCCAGTCAGATGGCAGGGTGGACTGCTTGTTGCTCCCACCAGACTGCCACTACAGGTTCTCCTGTTTCTGGTAACGGAGCGGACGCAAATTTTAAGAATAGCATTAGAATCTGCATGTTGTCTCTGTGTGTGGAGTGATGTGATTTCTTCCGCCTTTGTGTTGCTTTGCTTGCATATGTGGTGTTAATGTGTGTGCTTTTAAAGACTGCTTGCATTATAAATGTGTGAATTTAGACTCCTCCCCCCAAAAAAACATAATCTGGACATCAGGGTGAAGTGTACCACTTGCCTTCTTTCTCTAGGCCTTGCTACCGGAGCAGCGAGCAGTGCATGCAGATTCCTACAGAAGGATTGGGCACCTGTGAACACTGGGCTGCTATTGATGGCATTTCTTACCATGGCAGACACTCAAATGCACACACCCACACACCACACACCACACAAACACAGAGACATAAGCTAAGAAATGTTTTGGAATCAAGTGCTCTTTTAAATTATTATTATTATTATTATTATTATTATGCCTTTGCAGTATTATGGCTCTTATTTATGTAGAAATGACAGATTTTGTGAATCAAATTCACATATGTCAGCTTGTAACAAATCATTTTATTTATACCCTTTAAAGAGTGTGGATTTGAGATTCTTGACAGGATGTATATTCCATATATTTTCTCATTCCATATGTTGTAATTATTTTTAATAAGAGGTACTACTTTTATATATGGAATTTGAAGAAAATCAGGGTTTATTTATACTGTTTTGTATGAGATGTACATTACTTGACAGGAAATTTTTGATGAAACAATAAAATAAATTTTAAATATGACTGCCTTTGTTTTTCCTCTTTCCCCACTCTTTTGCCATGTTCCATGTTCTTTAATTAGCCATTATTGTTTTTTACTTGTTTTGCTTTGTTTTTTTAAGGCAAGTGGGAATCAGGCATTTTCCATTTTATGTTTGAGTTTTAAACAGCCATTCTATCTTTTAAAAAGATAGGATTTTTTAAAAAGAGAGATGCTTTCAAAGCCTGATTTCTTGAAATTTACTTTCTGCTTTATACTTTTGCCTACTACAATTTTCATCTTCAAATTAATCACATGGTTTAGTTGTTTCTTGTATGTTTGAATAAATGCTATTTCGTAATATGTTGGTTTTCAACTCATGTGTGGTCATTCTGCGTGATTTTTAAAGGCTGGTTATACCATCAGCCACTAACACCTGAGTTGTGCTTATCATTTGAAGAAGGTTTAAAATCGGAAATTCCTTATGTGAACATGTTAGCAGACTGTGGGGAGGGGCACTCAGTTGCACTGTAATGTGAGGAGAGGAAAAGAAGCCAGGGCTCTTTTGCTGCCCTATTTTAGTTGTTTGTGGGGAGGAGATTCTTAATTTTAAATCTGTTCAATTGATAAACCCATTCTCCAGTGCAATGTTTGCTTCACATTAATGAGTCAAACTGGAAAAAGATGAATAGAGTAACTGGTAGGAAGAGGCTGATTATCATGAAGAAACACTAACACCCTCGCAGTAATCAGCCATTTCAAAAGAAAAACAGATATGCATATTTCAAGCTGATTGGGAACGTTAGACAACCCAGAATAAACTCAGTTTTTGTTTTGTTGTTAAGAGGCCCACAGTATTGCAAAGACCCAAATCACAGACGGAAGGTTGATAACCATCTTTTAGTAAAATAGGTATCCAAAGTAAACTAAAAGTACACACAGGTATTAAATTGTGGGTTTTAAGAATTTTGCTTTATCTCAGGGGAAGATGGTAACACAGGTAAGATTCTTTTTTTTTTATCTGATTCTTTTTCTGATAGGGTTACTTTTCTAACATGTACAACCCATGAAGTATTCAGAACTCCCATTTCATAAGAAATCCACCCTTCCTGTTACAGAGGCAAACATTTGCTGTCTTTTCCCTAGGCATCTTATGGGGAAAATAAACTGTTAGTGTTTTCACTTCAGTGTGGCATGATTTTCAAATGATAATACATTTTTTTCTTCCCTTCAGGAAAACCAGGAACAACTGGTAACTGTCATGGAGGAACGAATGATAGAAGTTGAACAGAAATTGAAACTGGTGAAAAGGCTTCTTCAGGAAAAAGTGAATCAGCTCAAAGAACAAGTGAGACTCCCAGGTCATCTCTACCCACCCATCTTACATTCCACTTTTAACTCATTTTACATTCCTTTATTGCCATTAACTTGTTAACCGTTGTTGTCTAAAAAGGGCAGATTCTACTCTGAATGTATAGAAGTTAGGACTCATGTTCCCCCATACCACTTCATGAACTCTGTGTTCGGCATTATTTTTTCTGAAGCTCTTTTAAGGCATATGTTTGTCCACAGTTTTAAAAACGTGTATTTGCTAACAGTGTCATAGTTGTTGTTGGTTTTTTTGTTTTTTGTTTTGGCCCAAGAGAGAAAACAGTCCTACTTAAATAAACAGAAAATGTATAGTTGGTTAAAAAAAAATTGGAGGATAATATATAGAACTTTAGCTTTCCTGTTTGCAACAGCTGTGATAACCTCAAAAAGTACCTTACGGCTATAACCAGATTCAAAAGGCTGTGCTTTGAACTAGAACCTAGACCCTGAACTCCAAAGTCTCTAAACGGCCTGGAGATTTTCACCTTCTGGTGGCAGGTGTGGCCTCTGTGTTTAGGAATTATATGTACATCCACTGAAGAGATATGCAAGAAAGGGCCACTATCTAGGAAAGTTTGAGACGAACTGGTGGGGGTTGGCAGGAGAAAGTTGCCCAACCTGGTTTTCTAGATAAATAAAATTTAGGAAGAAAAATTCCAAGAGAGGATCTTCATTCAGAGGTAGACACAGCTTTCCTTTGTCCTATATCTTAATATACAGAATGGATATTAAAAAGTCCTATAAAATAAGCATGTATTGATTTAACCCTTTAATCATTAATTACAGTTACTGTGTGCCAGGTACTGTTCTAAGCACTAGAGATACAGCAGTGAGCAAAATAAAATTTCTGCCCACATGTAGCATAGTTCACTGACAAAGTATTGAGCATTTGGCCAGTAATAATTTCAAAAATAAAAGAAAATGGGGTCCACTCTATTTTCAGTAGAGGGAAACAAGAGAAGGAAAACTTGTTGCTACCCAGAGAGTTTAAAGAAAGTTTGCTAAAGGCCTCTTAAGCCTAATACTGTGTGTTGAGTAAGATTTTAACAAGTGGAGAAATGCAGGGGCGTTCTAAGCTACAGAAACATCATGCAGTTATGACTATTTGGGGTGTGGACATCCACAAACACTTTGGCATAATAGTTTAGCATAACACTATTATGGGAAAAGCAGGAGAAGAAACTAGAGAGATAGACCCTCTATGGCCAGCTCCTCCCTAAAATGCTGAGCCATGGAATTTGAATTTCATTCTTTAGATGATAAAGAACCATCAAAAGTATCTTTTAATGGAAGGGAGGGAAGAAAAATGGAAGGGAGGGTTGCATTAGAACAGTTCAATAGAGAGTAGATTAGTATGTTACACTGGCCAGTCACTAAATTCTGGGCTTCATCATTGCCCTGTGAAATGCTAATAAATTAATTAGCCACTCTGTGTCCCCTTAAGCCTTTATACTTTTAGCTGTCCTGCTTGAAATTATGTGTAAATGAGGAGTTAAAGGTATAACGAGGGAAGAGGGATTAGAAAATATTGACACAAGCAATAATAAAATTATCCCAAGGCTGCTAACAAGTTTTCCCACACTACCCTAGACTATATATTGTAACCATAAATATTAGAATAAATATTTTCTGGACAAGGCTCTATATAAAAGAGGAATGGTTAAGGAAAACTAACTGCACAAATCTTGCTTCTTATAATACATGAGACACATTTTTAAATAATTAGTAGGTTGTAGTTATGAATGGGAAGCTAAAGCATTTGTTAAGAATGGAAATAAACACAGTTCACACCCGAACTCAGAAATTTAAGTTATAAAAGTATTTAATATTTTTTTCAAGACTGAATAAAAGAATAATACCTAATTTCTTTAGGTGGAAAAAACTTTCATTTTTGAACCCTCAAATATCAACTTGTTCTTTTTATCAGTGACTTCTACAAACATACTATGCAAAGAAACAGTTTGGAATAATAGTGGATTTGCTCTACTTGTATCTCTGATGAAAGTCTGATGTTAAGTCTGTGTAGTAAAATAAGAGAATATAATTGATAGAAGCCATTTGCCTTTATAAACAACTGTCCGTATGTCAGACTTTAACTTAAAAGAATTACAGAAATGGAGTCAAAATGTTTCTGCTTCTGTTTCTAGCTCTGCAAGAATACTAACACAGACGCAACGGCGAAGGGTTTGTATGTCGAAAATGCCCAGTTGTTGAAAGCTCTGGAAATGACTGAACAGCGACAAAAAACAGCCGAGAAGAAAAATTACCTCCTAGAGGAGAAGATTGCCAGCCTTAGCAATATAGTCAGGAATCTGACACCAGCACCATTGACTTCTACACCTCCCTTGAGGTCATAGCAAAGCCAAAGGATACACTCATGTTTGTGCACTTTACTGAAATGGATGGAACATTTCAGTAGGTTCTGTCAACATTTTTTTATTATTATTATTACTAATTTAAAAAACCTTTCATGGCTTCAAGTTAAGCCTATCTTAAAACTGCCAGCAACAGAACTGAAGTCTCCATTCACTGTAATGAGTTTTTTCCTAAATTGACTCTAATGGGAGTTGCAAACAGTCACATATTTCAGTTTGAAGTATTTCCAACTTCTGAATTTTTAAGAGAATTCTAATGGCCACCAAGAAGGTAGATATTGAAAACAGTTCAAGAATCTTAAAACACCAATTCTGAATGAGTTTTTTTAAATAATTATTAAATTCCAGCTATTTTCAGTTTGACATCTAATTAATATTGTGTTGATCTTTATTTTAAACTGAATGTATGCCTTCTTAGCATTTAAATATGTGAAAGTTACTCTGTTTCTAATAGTTTCATTCTTTGGATTAATTGTTAGACTTTCTACTTAGCAACAGAAACTGGGCTCAATAACCACTGAGGTCAAAAAAGGCAGAGTCCATAGAACTCTACCTTCTAATACCTATGACAGTATTATCACTCTTGCCGTATTATAGATATACAGCTGATTTACTCAGCTGCACTGTTAACTAATGCTGAAACTTCACTTTCTTTAAATAGCCCTTTTCCCTTCTTATAAGTTTCATTTGGGAGATTATCTTCTAAAATTGGATAAAGCCACATTCTTAAAGCATTTGAACTATAGGGAAAGCACTGGACAAACCACTTTTGAGAAGAGCTACTCTTAGAAGAGAGAAAAGCACACCAGGTGGGTTTCTCTCTCTCAGAAGTCTTGGAATTCATGAAATTACGTTTGGGGTTGCCTCAAGAACTCAGGGAACAATACTTTAAGCTGTCTTCCTGAAATATTATAGGGCCTCTGTAAGAATTTAAAATGTATAAGCCACGTGACCTTATTTATTTGTATTGTATTTAGAGCCATAGTGGGATTTTTATTTCTACACTTTTAGTGAATGTAATCTTCTGAGAAAAGGCCTTGATTTTACAGTTAAAATCCTCTTCTAACTTATGGAATAGTTATCATTATTGGCTTGTTTGTTTAAATAGGTCAAAATTTCCACACCTCCTATTCCTCTACACCTCAAATCCGGTAATAAGAATTTCTTACTGTGATATGGAAGCACTGGCATGCCACCTGAGCTAAAGGGGTGCCAAAGAGCATTTCCCATTCAGTCTCAATACCAGAACTTTATAGAACAATACACATTTTAGATTAGATAACTCTTTTTACCCTCCAAGTAAAATCTGTGAAGTAGCCTACATCAGCCAGCAGCGGGTGGAGGACTGATTAGGTGTAGGGCACTAACGAAGCCCATCACAGTCACCTATTTGTTTTTGTGAGATAGCAATAAGAAATAAGTTAATTAGAAAAACTGACTTTGCTGTATTCAAGCAAGGCCAAGCCCATTGATTTATAAGCAGTATAACAGCAAAATTAAACACTGCTTTATGGGCAGAAACAAAAGACAGAGCAAACTGCCTAAGAAATCACATGTCAGAAACTCAAACTCAACACAACAGTTTGCATCAAGGAACTTTAGAGCCCACCCCCGCCCCCGCCCCCTCCGCAGACCTAACCATCGACTATGTCCCACCTGCCAACACAGGAGTCCTCACCACCAGAGCCCTGGGCAAGGCACGGTTGTTTATGGGACCGGGAGTTCATATTCATGAAGCAAACCTTTTCCCTTTTGGACAGCCCTCATCAGAAAGTCCTGATTTTCTCTTGGAAAGGGAATTTTAATCCTTCCCAATAAGTACACTTCAAAACATTGGATATCTGCTATCATGCATTCCCTCATCTTTCTTTTCCAAACATTACTAGTAAATATAACTATTTTTACTGCACTGGATTTAACAGAGAATTTTTTTCACTTAAAACTGTGGTTAGGCCTAGGCTAAGGTTATAAATAAGTTTCTGTGGTATACTTGTGTGATATACTTCAACTTACTCAAGGTTATTGCCATCAGAAATGAACACCAAGAATACTTCTCAAATATTTAGCATGTGATTCATATGTTGTAATTTTTATATTATGAAAAGTAAAGGTTGTTTATTTCTTATAAATCTGTATTTATGTATATATAAAATCCTGTACAGTGAATGTGAATATGACTTTCTGGAAAGTTGTAGACTACATTTTAGAATCCCTTCATCCAAAATCAAAATGCTGCTCAAATGAAAGTTTGTTTAACCAACATCTAGGTGCTTAATTTCTTGTAACATTGGAACATTGTGGGGGGACAGGAATCAACATCTCATGATCTCATTTCTCAAATGTAGTTACCTTAAATTGATACATTTGTGCAGCAGTTTATTTTTATGAAGTAGTTTAGAGTAGGAATTTAACTGGCAATTTATAATATAACTTATAGCTTTTTAAAAGACCTTTTTAAAGAGATTAAACTGTTAAATGATTAGATACTGCTTTCAGACTTTATAATAGCACTCTTTAAAAAAAATCACAAGTTATATATAATTGTATAGGCATTTATAGCTGCTTGTTTATTAAAAGCACTGGTTAAACTTTCTTTTGACTTCCTAAGAACAGTTATTTAAATTAAGTCTTAGACGATGGGATCTTCATTTCAAGGAAAGAGAATCAATGCCTTTTTGATAATATGTTGCACTAAGAAGAAGAAAATGTGGATGATAAAACCTGTATTCTATTTCACATTCTTCTGCTTTTTAGAAACCTAGGCTCTTAAACTCATATTTGTGGAGGGAGAAAAATAGAAGGGGAGGGGTAGAACCACCATAATATTTTATTTATTTTTCTAAAATTTAATAAATTCAGATTTTAAAACTTTTAAATGTAAATCCTCCCCAGAAGCTTCAAATGGAGAAGCTTCAAATGCATTACTTATAAATTTAATCTTTACATAAATAGATCACCAAGTCATAGGCTTTGAAGGTATTAGAGGGGCTGTTACAGGTCTAGTATTTCAATAATGTACCAATACCTGAGGCAGGTAATATTATGAGGAATTATTTTTTTTAAAGAATGAATGAGACATAGCAGATTTTAACATGTTGAATGAGTTTTTTTATTTTTGTGACTTTTTTTCTGAGTGAAGGAAAAGAGAAATGTGTTGCTACTGTCAACATCCTAAAGGCATTCCCAATCAAGGGAAGACTAAGTGCTTTGTAATAAATAGTATTAAGCAAGTCTGGTTTTGAACCTATTGTCTGGAATGACTCATTGAAATGATATAATTATACAAGTAAGCCAAAAACCATGTCAAAGCCTAATAACCAAAGCAGTCTATATTTAAATATTATTCATTACATCATGTTTGGACCTATTTAAACATCTCAGCACTGTAAAATAGTTTTGGTATTACGGCATATAAATAGCTGTGTAATAATAAATCCAAGTTAGCTTTCTGTTTCTCATTTTTTCTGAAAGATATATTAAATTTATTCCTGTGGGACGACATCATAACATAATTTAAGGGAACACTATAGTTTCGTGAAGGAAAACCCGAATTCATCTAAAGCCATCTCTAGGATTCTTCTCAGATAAAGATTAATGTGTATGTGTTTATATTGGCCTTGTAAATATCATCTTAGCCATTTTATCTTAGAAATTTTAAATGTGAGCTTAAAATATAAATAAATAATTTTGCAAACATGACTCTTGTTTTCTATACACTCTGAAATTTTATAGTTTTCAGTGTTTTTTAACATTGGTATTTAGAGAGAAAACATAAAAATATTGCACTTAAAATTCTGGAAATGCAGAATCTGATTCTCCACTCCAGACCTAATGAATCAGATTATGGATTTTTTAAATGATCCCCAAATGGTGTATGTGATTTAGAGCACCGGTACTCCTGTTTTTGTCACAGAATTGATCATTTTCACACTGGCAAGTTTAGGGTCTCTGTTCCTGTTGTGGTTCATAATTTACTTTAAAAATTCTGACTTAACCATAGGCAAGGCCATGCTTGGGATAGTCAGGGCTTCTGAGGTGGTGGTATTTCACTTTACCAACTTCATGGATGACAGACTGTTTTAGTTCAGCTGTGTGTGAATGATGAGATAAGTGAAATTATAGGCACAAAAAATGTTAACCTGAACACATAATATACTGAATACTGAAATATAAAATAGCAATGTTGGCCAAACTAGACCTATCTCATGAGCCTGGTTTTATTTTCTAAGCTTTTATACCAGATTCACATTGCCTTTATGAGGCAAGAACAATTATCCCCATTTTACAGATGAGAAAATTGGAACTTAAGAAAGTTGTGACTTACTCAAGGCCACACAGCCTGCTAAGTAGGGGGCACCAGACTCAAGGCCCAGGTTTGTGTGTACTAATATGTTGCAACACTTGAGGGGGGACCCAAGATGTCAGAGGTGCAAGTAGAAGCTACATTAACCTCCCAGGACAAATCTAGCATTACAACTAAATTACAGAGAACTCATTCTGAACGACCAACTGAACACTACCTGGAAAGGAGCCTTATAACCACGGACAGACAGAAGAAATCACGACAACATGACTGGTAGGACGCATGGAGGAGGCATGAGAGGGCTGGCTGGGCTCCCACAGGCATCAGCTGAAGTTCTAGGGGAATTATTTCAGCAGCTAGGGGATTCCCCCTGAAAAATGTGAGGTGTAAATCCCAAGTTGGACTCCCCAGCCTACAGCACCAGAGCCAGAAAAGGAACCCAGGTAATAGCCAGTGCTGAAAAGCAGCAGATTTCTGTCTGCCAGGGAGAGACTGCTGGAAACACAGAGAACCTTTTAAAGGGCCAATGCACACAATTCCATTTGCAGCCACTTACCCTGGGCTCTGGCAGAGGGAGGGCAGAGTGGACTAAAGATGCATGAGGAAAGTCTGCGGTTGGTGTCTTTGGGGAGAGAACTGAAGGAACAGCAGCCAGGATCCCTGTGCTGAGTCATCCCCCATACTGCAGGAGCCATCTTTCTCAGGCAGAGCACGTCTCTCCAAATGGCATCAGCCTGAGGGGAAGCAATAGCCACACCCACAGGAATTACTCTGCCCCACCCTGTGAAACTTAAGCCAGGCTGCTGAGTACAGCTTGAGGCTATATCACTGATTCAGTTTAACAACTAGAGCAGATCCCTGGGAGTTCTGAGACTTTAGCTACCCTCCACCAGGACTGATTCTAGTAAAAGCTGGCCTTGGTATGCAGCCTGGTTCTTTCTGTATACACTAAGGCCCAGGAGATAGAGATCCACAGCTTGTGGCTCCAATAGCTCCAAACAGGTTGCCTAGGGCCAGTCACAAGCAGCA